CTGGGATGATATATTTTTCCTTTGAGATTTGGTTGTCTCCAGTGTTATTTTTCTAGAGAAAGTGGTGCCGGAACTCACCATGAATGCCTCACCTGTTCTCTTATAATGGCAATGGCATCCACCTGAGAGGTGCTGGAATTGAGTTCCAGCTGAAAAAAAGCCCTGGTTGTCTCCAGCTCAGTTTTACTCAAGAGGAGATCCACTGAAATTAATGAAATTGATAAAAGTATGCATGTTGTGGGGAAAGTGGATAGGGAAAAGTTTTCCTCCCTCTTCTTTAACATCATAACTCTATGGTTACCAGATTTTTTTCAATGAATCCGGGGACACTTTTTTTTTCTTTTGAAGCTGAGTAGCAACAGAGAGTCAGTAGTGGGGATGGTGAGGCAAAAGACGCTGGGCCCAAACACACATGCATATTGTATAAAGGTGTAAAGCCCTTCTTTCGCACCCTGTGAAACATAAATGCACAGTTTTTTTAAAAACTGGGCAACGGCACACTGCCCGCCCGTGACTCCTGAGCCTTCCCTGATCTCCTTCCCCCTTTGTTTTGACAGATCAGGGGAGGCTCAGGAGTCACGGGCGGGCAGTTGTTGCCCAGGAGGGGCCAGCCTGTTAGTGCAGTTGGTTCTGGCTGGCTTCAGGAGCTGCTCGCTGCCGTGGCGCAGGAAAAATGGCGGGCGCCACGGCAGCGAGCAGCTCCTGAAGCCAGCCAGAGCCAACTGCGCTAACAGGCTGGCTCCGGGCTGCTGAGGCTGCTGCTGCCATGTTTCTCAGGGACAGATTTGCAAATCTGGGGACATTCTGGGGACGGAATTTGTCCGGGGACAGATTTGCAAATCCGGAGACTGTCCCCGGAAACCAGGGACGTCTGGTAACCCTAAACTTGCGGGCATTTAACGAAGCTGCATGTTGGAAGATTCAGGACATATAAAATAAAGTACTTCCTTGAGCAGCACATAGTTGAACAATGGAGCACACTCCCACAGGAGGCAGTGATGCTGTCAACTCAGATGGATTTAGAGTAGGATTAGAAAAATTAATGGAGAAGGAGGCTGTGCTCTGCACCCACAGTTGGAGGCAGCAATGCTTTGGAACACCAGTTCCTGGAAACCACACAAGGGGAGAGTGTTCTCATTCTCAAATCCTGCTTGCAGGTTTCCCCATGCGCATCAGGTTATCCACTGTGAGAACAGGATGCTAGACTAGGTAGGCCATGGACTTGATCTTACGTCCTTATCCCTGCTGTTGCACTCCCAGCAATATGGTCTTCACATGAGTTTTCAGTGTATAACATCTTCACTCAACTGTTGCACCATTCTACATGTCTGTATCTCTTCCCTGGGCATACAATTCTCTTCCAGATAAGATGCACTCCAATCCTCTGATGCTTTGCACACAGGAACTAGTGTACGTATGCCTGGGCACCTGCGTTCCATACAAATGGAGGGGGAAACCTCCATTTGAATTTGGGTCTCTGACAGTACAATAAATTTTTTTGTTGTTGTTGAACATGCACATGTATGTAGCAAAATATGCCTTGGTATTATTGAATTTAATTCTGTATTTTATATCCCCTTAACAGCATGAAGCTGTTAAGACAATGAACATGATTTTTTTTCCAGCTGTAGCATCTGGCTACTTGGCAGGCTCACTTAGTAGTTGTGTTGGCAGCTTTGGGTCTGCCTCTGGGCTTATCAAGGCTATGGGCTGCCAATACAGGTTCCTATTTGTTTTCTGCCTCCTATTTCTTAAGGGGTACTTATATTTGCATGTATAAAAATCTAATGAGCAAATAAATAAATAAGGTTTTTCCTGATCCCTGGCTGTGGATTCTAGTCTACCATTAGTTGGCTGCTTCTTAGAATCTTATTCTCCAGTTCATGTGTAACTAAATGATCATTCATAACAGTAAGGCTTATATTTCTATGTGTATATACAAACAGGATCTTTGTGAGCCCTTTAATGAGATAATATAATAAATGGAAGAGATCATTTTTCATCTTGCAATAATAAATGAGGTGTTAAAGGAAAATCCTTTATACGTGAGCATTTGGTAACTTTCTCCTTGCACCAAAAATGCGAGAGGATACACTGAACTGGTGCAATTACAACTCTATAGGACAAATCCGAAAATGTCTTAGGGTTTAGAGTATGGTCTCCTGAACAACCCTATAGAAAGACATTACAGCCAAACAACTACACAGTAGTACTCTCATTCATTTTAACAGAGCTTTCACAGGAAAACTTTCTGGTGAATTAGAAGCCTTTTAAAACAGGCACAATCACTTGGGTTAACCAAGTATTTCTTGATGTGGCCTTACTCAGGAAAAGCTGCAAATTGTGAGGAAAACAGTTTATTAAGAGAACTGTTACTAAAAAAATTTAAGGTGACACCAGCATGCAAAAGAAACCCTTAGTTATTAAGGATACATACTAGAGATTGTGCATGAGGCAATATTTAAATAGCTGGTTGCTTTCCCAAATCAGACATTTTTACATGGTCCTTGCTTTATAATAAGAGGTTTCAAAGAGAACACTTTGTCTTCCCAAAATCACTGAGAAAACTGTTCAAATTAAATGTGTCCAAGACTTTAGCTCCATGCAAACATTTGAGAAGAAAGGCCTGGATCAAAAGAACTGCACAAGTTGTTTGCATCTGAGGGAACTCTGGACTTAAAAGTAACATCCCCTCCCTCAAGGCCACATAGGGAGTTTGTGATATTCCATGATGATTTGCAGCCCAATACATGCAAACACCTTTGGCTATACAGTTTAAAGGTAAGCGCCTAAGAGTCCACTGGACACAACAAAGCTTTGGGTGCCCCCAAAGTAGGTCTTTGGATTCTGATCAAATCTACAATTTTTAAAAGGATTTTTGGCAAACATTTTTCACTGAATGGCTTTTGCTTAATTATAATTTTTTGGTAACCAAAGTATCTATATAACATTAGCTTCCCTGCTGGAAAATTATAAATATGTAATCTTTTGTCATCTAGGATTATTTGATGTATCTATAAGAGACAGTTAAAATTATTCATTTATAATATCAACAAAATTATTTTGAGGTTTTCAGTGCAGCTTTTTTAGTTTCATAAAATGTTGAGCCTGCAAAACTAATAATAATAATAATAATAATAATGCATTGTGGGGTGTCATAATGAGCTTCAGGTAATGCTATGTGTAAAAAAAAAATTCTAATTAATTTTGGTCCCATTATTCCTTATAGAAACTCACCTTCATTTAATATAACTCAAAATGAAATATTTTTTTAAAGCAATGCTACATTTTATTTAGCAGTTGATATGAAATATGAGTTACTTATTTATTCTGATATAGTTTGTAAGGTCAGTATCATTCACTGAGGACTAACTAATACTCCCATTAAAAGAAACGGTGCATTATAAAAATAGAAGACCATTTATGTAAATTTTCTTGCCTTTGGCCATTTCAGAGACAATGAACAAACAAAAAGATGCTGTAGTTTTGCAGAACACTTGTGAGATAGTTGTCAACTTTGATCTTACATCAATTAGTCAAGATTCTGAATGATCATAGATAGCAAAATCCCTTCCCTAGTTGAATAAAACTGTCAAAGATACCTACTGCATAAATTACATTGTTTCCTAAAGCAATAACCATTCTCGACTTAGATTCACTGGTCAGAGGGATTAGAATTTCAATGCAGTTTTCTTTTATAGCTAAAGAACTATGATCATTTGAGTTGTTGATGTTGTTGTTTTACCCCTTTTCCACAAGAGACAGTGACAGACTATTTTTATTATCATTATTTCTTCCACCTCAAATTTTAACCAAATTGGTTCCCAAGGCAGCTTACTTTAAATCTGACTTAACAATTTAAGAAGCCACAAAATTTAATTTTTTAAAAAAGCAACAACAGGAAGCATACAGGCCACCTCAAATAAAAACATAATCAAATGTGCTAGAATAACCAATGAAAAACCTTCTTAAATAGAGTGAAAGTGTCTTAAGCCTCCAAAAAGCTTGTGAGTGGGGGCACTGAGCCTCCCCAGTTGGATTTATTGTATGCAAGATTCACTTGAAAAATCAGGCTATATATATTTACATACACACACGAAAATGTCCAACTAATTAAAAAACAACAACAACCCTACCTTAGCCTGTAAGTAATCATTTTTTTGCACTCCTGATTTAATTAGCTTTTTGATTCTCGGATTATTACAACCTAGCTAGACCTAGAAGCTATATTTAACTTTTAGGAAATACGACCTTTTGATTGCATACAGAGAGCTAAAACTTATCAGAGTCGCTGAATCCTAGCAAAGTTTCTCTTTTCTCTCCCCCCTACAGGTAGTACAGCACAGTGCTGGAATGACAGGGCCCCATCTGAACCATGCCCGGCTCCCCAGTCTGCACAAACCTACTCTATCAATCATGGCAGGATAATGCATAGAGGCTGCACCTGTGACAGGAAATGATTGAGTGTTGAACACAGGGCCTGCCTCGCCTGTCACTTGTGCTTTTGTATTTCTCCAGGGCCGGTTTGAGAATGTTCAGAATTTAGAGCAGGGGGTGGGAAGGAACCATGAATTCACTTGCATTTTATTTAAATTCCATTTGATTAGTCAGCGGGCCGGTGCTGCGGAAGGACCTGCAAATGAACTGCAAGCTAACAAGACCAGGATTCGGTCGAGGCATTGCAGCACTGACATGCTGTAATCGTATGAAAGTGCAAGCAATTTAGTCTAGGTGTAGCAAAATGAAAAATGCAGGCAGCAGCCAATCCATTTGATTTCTCTTACCAAAATGAGAAGTTTTCATCTTATGGAGACATCAGTGGCCCATATGGAATGGAGATAAAATAAGCAGAACTTGTAAGTCATTATTCATCTATGTTAGGAAAACGACACCAGAGAAGCACTGGCAAGGCAAAAGGCGCTTTAATTCTTCTTTGATACAGATGAATTTATATAAATGTAATGTTCAAAATTTTTGGAACTGGTTACCTATAAAGTAATCTGGATTTTTCTTTTCTTTTAAAAATCGTATAAGCAGAACACGTTACAATCTATGCCATAAAAGAACACTGGGAATTTAATTGTGCTTAATGCCGTGTCGTCTTTATGGGGATAAATTGGTGGAATCTAATTAATATCCCGCATCGATCATGTATAAATTGAGTTTGCTGTTTGTAATTCAATCAAATTCTGAAACTATTCAAGAAGTAGATTACATGCAAATCTGCAGTCTATGATCATCGTAATAAAAACAATCACCTAATAGAAGGGGTATAATAAAAAACAGGTAGATTTCAAATCTAAAATTTGGGAATCAGGGACCTTGTTATTTCAGGGTTCGCTCCCATTTTCTTAGTAACTTCTTTTTTTAAAAAGTTTCAGTGCATCTTTTATTACCTCAACATTCCCCTGTTAAGTATTTTCATCTCAAACAGTGTTGGAAATCATTTGCTTCATAGCTTATGTGAGAACAAAAGCGATTGTACCCTCCAGGAAACTCTACCATTTTTTTCAATAGGCTACACTTAACTGAAAGAACCCCAACCCCTTAGTTTTTCATTGTTAAAGATGCTTGCCAAATGTCTTCTTTCACACATTCCCACCACCCCTTGCTTTTGGCTGAATGCCTTTGCAAAAAGCAGGTCATTGTTTCTTGAGCAAGGAATCAGCTGGTGCTCAGTGGAATGCATACTAGGAGTGCGCACTGCTGCAACTGAAGATTAAAACTTAGGGACATGTGGGCTAGACGTTCTGCAGTATTTTGCACCCCCTTCCACAAATTTTCTCATCCTCGTTTCTCTGAAATCACAATGAACAAAGACGTCGGGGAAGAGCGTCACTTGCAGTTGTGTGGGTGGGTGCTATTTCCCTCCCTTTACAACTTTATCAAGAGCAATTGGGGGGGGGGGGGGGAGAGACACTGATCAGCCAAAAGGAAACTAGCTTGGTACGTGTGCCTCTCCTGCACGCAAGGAAGGCGCTCTGAATATATATATACCAGAGGATGCCGGCTGCGGCCTCTGCCCTTGCTCCTTCTATTCTCTCCAAGCAGCTGCAGAATGAAGCCTGCAATCTTCTCCTTTCTCTGCAGCAGAAGCATTCATTCCCTTGTCTGCCCGGAGCTTATTTATTTGCAACGGACCTCGGTCTGCAGCTGAAAGCAAAGGAAGGACGCCCAGCAGGCTTGTCTTTCTAAGCTCAGGAAAATAACTCCTCTACTTAACACACACACACACAGCCCGGCTGCCTTTCCTAGCACTGAACTTTGCCTCGTGGCTTAAAGCCCCGACCATGGGTGTTATTGCCAATGCCAAAAGAGAGCGGAGGTCTCAAAATTCCTATCACAGAGGCGACACTCGTCTTTCCCGCCATCCGCGGCCTAGCAGTGTGCGGTGAGGAGTGCCCCCGTGGCACCTGCGTTAACAGCTCTGAGACTTCCCCTCAGCCAGGGCTGTAAAAAATATCATTACATTCCACAAAAGCTCCCCTTCTTCTTCTCCTCCTTGCTTCCCCAGTCTCTTTCCTCCCTCGCTTCTCGGGCTATAAAGAGACCAGCCGCTCAAGCTGCTAGTTAGCGACCCCCCGACAAAAACCTGAGGGGAGAAAGGAAAAAAGAAGGAAGGCTGAGCTTCCCAAGTAGCCCCTTCTTATGAGGGAGAGGAGCGGGGAGGAGGGAGAGCGCGAGCGCGAGCGCAAGACAAACATCTGGGGATTGGACCATATGCTAAAGCTTTGTCTTGTCCTTCGAAGTTAGGCTGCCCTTGAAGTGATTTGTCAAGCGGCCTAGCCGTGACAGGGAGGCGATGTGGTGGGAGGGAAGCGGGACCTGGAAGCCAGGGGCAGAGAAGGTCGCCAAAGCGGGGCAAAGGGAAAGGTGAAGGGCACTCGGGGAGGCCAGGCAACCGGGAAAAGAGGAGGGTGGCAAAGGGTGCGGTGCATTATTGCGGAAGCACAGCAGCCGAGCCCTTTTAGCTTGAGGGATGATGGCCCTTGTTTGGAAACGTCGCTCCTGGTTCCTGGAAGTGGCAGACCGTGCGCAGCAAGCACAAGGCCCTCAGACTAGGGTTGCCATATTTCAAAAAGGGAAATTCCTGTCGCTTGCCAAGTTGTGGAGGTGGTTTTTTTTTGGGGGGGGGGAGCAAACCCAAATTGTTGAGCTCTGTTAGGGGAAACCTAGACCCCAAAATAGTTTTTGAGCTGTTTCTACTGCTTTTTCCATCACGTTGCCATGCATCCAGGTTTCCCCTGACATTCTGCCGATTCAGCAAGCCTACCTGAATCAAACAGCTCTCCCAGCACATGCTCTTAAAAGGGGAGTTGCATTTCCCGTGTCAATGGCAGCTACAGTGAATGCATACTCATTTGGGGGGGGGGGAGTGTCCTGTTACCAGCCTGTATTAACAACATTTTAGTTGTTCTTCTGTTATTATTTATTTGAGAGGCTTGTATACCCCCCCTTCCTTCATCAGTCTCCCTGTGATGGCTAGTAATTACATGTGTGCAATAGTACAAGGGGAAGTCAGAAGTACATTTGGTGTACATTTGTTGCTCTCTCTCTCAATTCTTTGTTTTTGTTTATTTTATTTTTTATTGTAATATATTATGAAAAGTCTTAATAAAATATTTATTTTTTAAAAAATACATTTGGTGCCATGAATATAAGCACCCTCAGGAATATGGCATCCCAATGTGCAGACTTGGTGTCCAGGACTTAATATGAGGTAAATACGCACTAGGCAGGATTGAGCTCTGGAACGTGTTAAAACTCAGTGTGTAAGAGAGTATCTTTGAGCCTATGTTTATTTACTAAAGTTATATCTTGCATTTGGTCCAAGGAGTTCAAGGCAGCTTACAAAATTATTTTCCCACGTCCCTATTTCCACCTCACAGCAACCTTGTGAGGTAGTTTAGGCTAAGAGATAGAGATTTGCCCAAGGTCATCCAGTGATTCATTATTTAATTTCTCTACCACTTAAATATATTAAAAATACAGTGGTACCTCGGGTTAAGTACTTAATTTGTTCCGGAGGTCCGTTCTTAACCTGAAGCACCACTTTAGCTAATGGGGCCACCTGCTGCTGCCTTTCTTTTCTCACCCTGAAGCAAAGTTCTTAACCCGAGGTACTATTTCTGCGTTAGAGGAGTCTGTAACCTAAAGCATATGTAACCTGAAGCGTATGTAACCCGAGGTACCACTGTATCTCTAAGCAGTATACAAAAAACTGAAGCAACAACAGACAACTTAAACAAAATATTACAAAAATACACCTTTGTGTATAAACATGTTACATTAATACAAAGTTACTAATCTATCCATCTGTCTATGTCAATTCATACTCCTTCCTTCTTAGCCTCCAGGTTACAAACAAACTCTCAGCTCACCCACAAAAGTCTCCTGGAAAGGGTGGATATCAACTTTAGGACTCAGCTACATTAGTCAAACAACAACACTTTGAATGTGTTATAAACATGCAACACCAGATGGCGCCAGAGAGCAAACAAATTTTCTATGCGATTTTTACATAGGGTTTTCTTTTCTTTTGTTATAAATGATTTAATTTCTGACTTATTTATAGTATTTTTTTTCTTGTGTGTAGATCCACCCTTAGTCTCTCACTCTAGACTTGCTTTTTATGGGCAGACCCAAGGTGGATGGTACTTCCTCAGGTTGCCCACAGCTGGGTCTCATTCATCTGCATTTGCCACAGCCAGTTCCAGGTGCAACAGGTTTGTTGAGTTTCCCAAGGGGTCCAAAGGATGGGAAGAGGGGCCCCCTCCACTCATAGCTCTTTCTTCACACTCTGTCCCCTTTTCCTCTAGCTACTTTATGTCTGAGGGGGGATTTGAACCCAGGTCTCCCTGGTCCTTGTTTAACACTCTTAACCACTGTTCTACAGTAATTCCCATATTCCTTTCCCTGACCATTGTTTAACTAAAACTATCCCATGGATTTTGGGGTTGCACATCACCCTTGAGTACAAAGCTTCCAGATAATATTAGAGTTGGGAACATTGCTGGATTGAGAAAGCAGTGTCTAAATTTAGCTGCATCAGTGCTGGGCCATAATGCTTTGATGCCTGAGGTTGAATAGCAGATTGTAGCTCTCTACCCAACTGAGGGTGTATAATATCCAAGACTGGCCAAGTTATTTGGCACCTGAGACATAAACTCCCACAAGTACCGCACAATGGAATTCAAAATATAATAATAATAACAACAACAATTTGCTGCCCTTTCATGACTGCCCAAAATTGGCTGCTGAGGTGGACACCTCAGTCTGCTGAATGGTAGAGCCACACAAAACTGGGGCAATGAGTAGGGAAAAGCATTTCCAAACTTCAAGGCATCGAACACAGCTGTGAAATCTGTTATGTAGATCCTGTCCTATTCTAAAATAAATGCCTTGTTGTCCTGTGGAATCCACAGCCCTGCATATGCTGTTCAACTACAATTCCCATCATCCCTAACAGCTGGCCATGCTGGCTGCAGCTGATAGGAAATGTAGTCCAACAGGGTCTGAAGGGCCACATAATTCCCTGTCCTATGACATGGATCTATGTAACCAGGAAGCCCAAAGACCTCTTGTAAATTTGCAAAGACTGAGGAATGAATAAGAAAAGAAAGAGGAAATGTGAAAGAAATGCAGAGGAAAAGGCAACAGAGGTTGCGTTACTAAGAGATTGTAGAAGGGCGGCTTAAAGACATCTTGTCGGTTATCCTAAAACCTTAGAAACACATGTCCCTGTTTCACTTCACTCCCCTTTTCCTGCCTTTTCTATCAGAAAATCGGGAGAAGATGAGGATGGTGGAAGAAATGAGGCACCAGTTGAAAAAATAATAATAATGAAGGGATGGCTGATCATGCTGCCTCCTTCTTCCCTCTTTCCTTTTTGCCCGCCAAGCGTTGAACTGATTAGAGTGTAATTAAGGCCATAAAACCCTCAGCTTATCCACCTGTTTATTCACTAAAGTCTCAGGCTCATCAGGCAAATTAGCTGCTTCCAGGCTGCACGTTGGGCCTAGAGCTGGACTGATTAATGAAGTTTATTGGGAGCTGTTAAAAGCATTAACTGAAGGAAATCTCAGCAATTCGTCATATTTAAGGGATGGAAATTAAATCTCCCCATGCAAATGAGAGGAGACTCCAAAGCAGCTTCTTTTTAGAGGTTACAGAGGGGGAGTGGGGGTGGCTGGCTGGGTGGGAGGTAGGGAGGAATGGATGAGTTTTATTCACCAGGCTGCTTTGTGTCTGTCTCTGTCCCTGGGGCAGCTGACCCCAGAGCAAACGCTGCTTCCCAGGAGCCATTACCCACCCTCGTAATGGAGCTCATTTAGTGTTTGGGTAAAAACATAAGACAAGGCCTTGATTGGGCAGGCTGCGGTTCTTAGAGTGACAGGGCCCAAGTGGAACGACCAGGCCGAGAAAGGCAGTTCCCTATCCACTTGAGATGTCTGCAACATGTGATTTCAAATAATGACATTTTAGCAGTTGCAATGACTTCATTATCATCCAGCTTGGCAGCAGCTTTATAATTTATTTTGCACTCTTCGTTGGTAATCTGATCTGAAAACCGAACAAGATGCTTGAAAATGTTTTTTGTCTGGAAGCTGCCCTTTGTATCCCAGGAAGCTGCCTTATCACATTGCCTCAGAACTGGCTCCGCTGACTGGCATTAGCTGTCTTTTCCATCTCTAACTGAATATGCTCCAACATTCCTCAGATGAAAATAGGGACACTTCCCACTCTGCCCCCATCCCCTCAAACTGATCCTCCTAGACCTCACATTTTTTGTGTCGCCTGCCCCAGACAGAGCATTTCCTCTCAGAAAAAGGGCGAGTGCCACCACCACTAAGGCAACAGGACGCAACGTGCACATCCTCCAACGTCCTGAGAAAACCCATTAATCCCGATTTTATTTTATTCTTTGGTAGATTTGCAAAAAGAAAGACGCACACTGATAAGGGAGGAGGCCAGTGGCAGTGGAGAGGCAAAAGGATGCTCCTTTAAGTCACAGCTGCTGCCATTGTCGTTGCTCAGGACAAGCGCTAGCTCATCCTCCTCCCCAAGCTAGGCAGTGGTGCGGGCAAGGGAAATAGGGACATTCCAGGATCCAATCAGAAACCAGGATGGCTTTTTGTAATAACGAGACTGTCCCTGGAAAATCGGGACACTTGGAGGGTATGTAAAGGGAGATGTCAGGGACTGAACTGGAGTCCCTTTTCACACAAAATTTGTCTTCTGCGAAACTGTTTTTTTCATATAACCTAGGAGGAAACATTAGCTGCTGGTGGCATTCTTAAAGAAAGCCATCCCTGTAAATGAGACTGATAAGAATAAAAGCCAAACAAGAATTTAGACGAAGCCTATAACTGAGCTAAAGCACTTCCTCATAAGATCCATGACATGGAAAAACAAAGTCCTTGTGTGGACTGAGTGGGATCAATTTAATGTTTTCTGAGAGAGTTGGGTAGCAAATGAAGGGCCTCTTCTGAGGAATCTCTGAGAGACCTAGTCTCTTGGGGATCCGGCTAAGCAGCATGTACCAAAAGTGTCCTCCCACTCTGGGGGTAAGTACTACTGGATACAGGGGAAAAGTAATTGTTCGAAATTCAGGTATAAATCTGATGCATGTTTCTGTTTCATGCATGTTCCTCTGCTACTTTAATGCTCCTTGTTGTCCTGTGGCTTTCTAATTTCTGTTTCTGCAGCTCAGTCACAGCTCTTGTAGGCAGACTCTTGTTGGCTTGGGTCAACCATTTCCTACAATCCCAGAGGTTAATATGTAGGAGGGCAATTGACTTTATTCTTGGGAAGTTCTCTGGGGCAGTTTTCTGCCATGGCCAGAGGCAATATCTTGGCAGCCTCATCTTGGGAGGTTCATAATATGGGCCTTTATCACAGTAATTAAAGATACATTAACCTGTTTTTATTTCCTCCTTTGAGTCCTTGAAGAAACACATTGCAAGTGAAACTCAAAGTCAAATCAATTGTAAAGAATGAATAGTTGCAATGAATTTCAAAGACTCTGAGAAAGATCAGGTACCCTTTTATAATTAACAGATTATTTTATGAGTTTAATTCACAAAACAAATTACAACTTGTTTATTTAGTAGCAGTTGTATCATCTAATTAAAAAAGTAAATCTAGGTGTTTCACAATGAAACAGATAGATAAATTTATTGTCATTGTCCGTATATACACAGTATACACAACAACGAAAATCAAACACCCACTCGAAGACCGGGTTCACATACACATTTGCACGTATCTCCAACACTCTCATCCTATTCAGACATAATCTATAAAAACATATCATACTCCAGAATGTAACATAACCTATTAAAAGCATAACATAACCTAAAAACCTGTCTCATTCCTTCCTACTCCCTGCTTGCTATTCCTTGCAACTGGCCCTGAGATCATTATTTAGTGCAATCAGAGCTCTTGGATAGAAACTATTCAGAAGGCGTGTGGTTCGTGTTTTCATTGTCCTATATCTTCTGCCCGAAGGCAACAGTTCAAAGAAGTTGTGAGCAGGATGGGTGGGATCTCTCAGGATATTGTGTGACTTCTTCAAAGTGCGAGACGTGAAGATCTCATCCAGGGTTGGTAAACAATGTTGGTAAACAGCTCCATCTAAACAATGTAAAATAAGAATCAACATTTTAAAATACAGTCTGAAGGGCTAAGTAGGAGATGTTGCCAGAGAACCTGTCCACACAGTGCATCCACAGTTGGGTAACAAGGAATTTTATATTGTATTTAGTCCCCCAATACGGATTTTTCCAGAATTTAAAAAATCCACATTTACTGTTGAGAAACTGCAGGCTGCCTGCTGAATGGGGAGAGAATCAAGTGGACAAAGTACAAATATTTAAGGCACTTATGGCTTCAAATTCATGTTAAACTGCCATATGGATGAGCCCTAAACTATGACAGTATAACTTTCTCTGTTATCAGTTTCTCTGATTATTATCAACATGTTTGAATTTGGTTTATATCAGTAAACTGTTGTGTAGTCTAAACTGGCTGCCTTGTAATTAAATATCTCTTCCAAACATTCTCACCTAGGACTCAGCTATACAGCTGCAAATAAAATGTTTTAAAGTGCATTATACAAATGTGACACTAGATGGGGATGATGAGCTATGGCATATTCAATATATTTTTCAAAACATTTTTTTAAAAAGCATTTTCACGACTTTTAAAAAATATGTGTCTAGATTCCACCTCAATAACAACAATCACAGATGGGATAAAAACCATGAAAAAGTCAAAAGGCACTTTTTGGTGTAATATGAAAATACTCTTGGTTACAGCGATCCTTGCTAAACTGAGAAAGTAATGTGCATTCTTCTGCCAAGCTGTGGATTTGCAGATATCAAATAAAAGTGAAAGATCATAGAGTTAGGGGCTCACAGAAGGGCCCTATGTAAGCAAAATGTATTTCCGCCAAAATAGAAGCCCTATTCACCCACGGTATTATTGGAATTCGGAGCAGAAATTAATGGGAAATTGTGGGTTAGCACTTTGGTTTCTGACCCAGATAAGACACAAATTGGGAGAGGTTAAAGAGGTACACTTTGGATACCTGTGGCTGTTCACTTTGGCCTCTGGTAGACACTGCTATCCTCACTAGCATGCTCATTATCTCATACAGTACTTGAGAGGACGGGGTGAAGGGTAGTCAGAATTTCCCTGGAAGAGCTAGCAGTCAGATGAAAGGAGGAGCAGTAGAAGAAGTGGAGAGGGTGTTGGTGTGAATAGCCTTGCCCTGGAATTCCCTCCCTGCTTAAACGGGGTTTACAGTGGTACCTCAGTTTTTGTGTTTCCTGTTGCACTGCTAATTTGCATCCCCCCATTGTAATTCAAGCCTTCCGTTTCTGATTGCAGTGTTCGGAGGTGATATTTGGAGCTTATATTTGGTGTTTTTGTTTTTGCTATTTATTTTGCGTTTTTGGTTTTGAGGCTTTTTCAGTTAATTTGATTGATCAATTGATTGATTGATTGATTGATTGTGTGACTGCGGAAATGGATAAAAGCCCCCATCCAAACAATGACTATCATCAGTGCAGGTAAGAAATTGCTTTAATTTTAACTTTTATCATCTACAATACTGTTTTACTTGTTTTATAGTATAGTACATTGATTATTGCTTTCATTTTATGGATCAGTGGTCTCGTTAGATAGTAAAATTCATGTTAAACTGGTGTTTTAGGGGTTATTTTTAAAAGTCTGGAATGCATTAATCCATTTTGCATTACTTTCTATGGGAAAGCATGCCTTGGTTTTGGAACGCTTTGGTTTTGGAACAGACTTCTGGAATGGATTAAGCTTGAAAACCAAGGTACCACTGTATTCAGGAAAAATAATCTTAAATCATGTGTAATTTGCCTGTTGATCAAAAGTTTCCTGAATTTAAAGCGTGAGGGGAAGAAAATGGAAAAGAAATGGAGGTTCAGTTCACTACAGTTAGAAACATTGGACCGGATTCAACTAATGAGTCTCACTAGCAGAAGCTCATGCAAGGACATTTCCCTTCCCCCATCTTCACTCACATGTGCCCCCATGCTCCCAAATTGGCTTGAGACGGTCAGGAAAACCCCCAGAACAGTGGGGGGGGGGGAGAAAAGGGGATCATTCCACCTTGCAAGCTGAAATGCTAACCTTTGGACATAGTGCCAAGCTGAATTCCTCCCATTGGGTTGGATCCAGATTTCCCTTCCACCAACTGGAGCATCCCTTAACCGAGTTCCTCTCAAAGGATGATGCATCCATCCATGGAGGAAGAGATGATTGTTCCTCCCTTTGTATCCATTCTCTCTTTGGCAATGGGATCCTTCTTTCCCATCCATGGAAGGTGAAGTCTGGGTCCTACCCATTTTTAGAAGTTTACCAATAAGTTTCAGCTCATGTCATATCGTTCTTTGTAACCATCAACAAAGACAAGATAAAGAAGGAAAGAAGGATTGCTTTAGTGCACTTCATACTTGGGTTTTTCCTGACTAGAGATCTGGTTATTCACTGCAGTTATTTGATTAACATTTTTAAGCAGTTTATCCACCGTAATATTTACCTGTTTCAGTGAGTTGTGGGGAAAGGGAATTTCAATAAGAAACTGAAATTGGGTTTGCTAGTTTGCTCAAGGCTTCCTGCAGTTTTCTGTTTGTACAGAACTCCCCCCCCCCAATAGGATGGCTAGCATCTGCACACCTGTCATAAAGCAGTACAACTATTTCCAAATACGCTTGATAGAAAATAGCTAAAATTATCTCTTAAGCAAATCAATTTAGTGTAAGATTATGCAAGCCTTTGACTTACATAGAACTCCGCCTTTGACAAAATGGATAATAATTTTCAGCCAAGATTGAGAACCAGCAAATACAATGAATGTATGTGCTTGAGAAATGTACACATTGTCCCCAATAGCTAGAGGATATTTGAATAATTTGTGACTGTAGCACATTCAGAGTTCATCAGTTTCCAAAACTGGGAACAGAGCTTCACCACTCCTATATAATACTGCCTGGAAGCACAACACACTTTAACAGCTATATGGCTTATAGTTTCATTCTTCAAATAAAGTAAAGCTGCAGTCCTATGCATGCTTACTTAGGAATAAGCTCCACTGAGCACAGTGGGAGACATTTTGCTGCCTGAGGCAAAGGACAACGTGCCACCCACAACAGAAGCTGGCCAGACTAGTAGCTGAATCCAAATTCAACACTGGCAACAGGATTGCATTCTCCAGTACCCCTAAAGGGCAGCAGGCTAGGTGAGCCATAGTTCATCATCTCCACCAGAGGGATTAGAAAGAATAGCCAGAGGGCTGCTGCCGCCCCTGGAACCTGCTACCTGAAGTAATGGCCTCCCTCTGCCTTACAGTAGGGCTGGCCCTGGTTGGGATTGCTTTTAAGTAAACATGCTTAGTCCTGTTGAAATTGAAGGTGTTTGTTGGCTCCTGATATACCTGCACAGGTGGTTGAGTGCAAATGGGGCTACCAAAGATAAAGTATTGATTTCTACACCCTTGGTATGCAGCTAAAACTGAGAGAGGATCTTGCTCATTGGACCCAGATAAGAACTACCTATCTGTCAAAGTGCCTTCTCCCATATAAACAGTCCCAGGTACTGCAATTGGCAGATCTGTTGTGCCCCGAGTGGGTTTAACCCACTGAGTGGCAATATGGTAGGGGGTCTTCCTCTGTTGTGGCTCACTGGTCTTGGAATTCCCTTCCCCTGGAGGGACAGGCAAAATGGACTATAAGGGGTTTCCTACTGCTGTTTAAAACAAAAAAAAAACCTGTTTTGCCATCTAACTCAATATTCTCTGTACTGTACTGATTAGCAGTTGCTATTTAGTATTTCAGAGAGGAGCCTTTGCTGGCCCTTGCTGGGGAAGTTAGCATCCAGTTTGCCGTACCTGCCAAAGGCTGCTTCATAACCAAAACCTGAGTTTGCTGAAATCACCAACAAAGCTGGATGTTATCAGCATGGCAATGCCTTACTCCAAAACCATAATAATCTCACCTATAGGTTTTATGTAGACTTCAGATTGTGCTAAAGTAATGACACTCTCCACTATCCCATTGCATCAGTGTATGCAAAAATATAAGGATGGAGAATGTAATGGTATGTGTGTAGAGGCCCACAGAGCACAATGGAAGGAGGCAGAGCTCTTCCCTCCCGTCTCACTGCCATTTACATTTTCTTTCAAAGTATAATGTGTGTGGGGGTGTGTGTGAACCATTGTGGTTAGGATGGATTCCAACAACAACAACAACAACAACAACAGATCAGTGGAAGCCTGGGAAAGTAAAAGGGTCCTTGCAGGTTACCAGAAAGACAGGAGAGTGGGCACCAGGTGAATTTCTTTGGGCAGCCTGTTCCAAGGCTGGGGCATTTCCACAGAAAAACTTCTGTGCCCTGTAACTTCCCAGTGCACCCCAGATAGCCAAGGGGTTCGGATAGGAATGGGGTAGCAATTTGATTCTGTTCACATTTAAAGGCAAACTTACCTCATTCACATTTTCCCATAAAAGATCCAAGCCAAAGCACAACCAGCCTTCAAAATTCAAATTTCTCTGAATTTTGCAATGCAGTTCTCTAGCCAAGTAATGTGTACAGAAATGCATATGCTAGTGTAAAGTGTCCCTATGAATGCATGTATGAGTGAAAACAACACACAAAAGGCATTATATTGGGGAAAGGTTGCTTTGCAAACATTTTATATTAATGTGTATATTAGGAGAAATTTGCACTAAAATTAAGGTGAATTTTCATGAAGACTTCTTTAAAAAAATGCAAACTGTTGTGGAAATGCGGAGACCTGAATTTAAGATTAGAAAAATGAGAAACTGAGAGAAACCAGAATTGATGTCTGAAGTGCCTCTGATGACTGGATTTACAGTGTGGCATAGACAGGCAGAAGCAGGTCCTGAAACTTACCCTTCCCACTTTGCTCTCCCCAAAACACTAGTTTTCTCCTACTAAGGGTTATTTCCAGACACAAGAGTTTCATGGGCAAAAGAAACAGTAAAGGAGACATGTTTTGAAATGGTGGGGGCAGGAATGAAGAAAGGGAAAGGGTTCCGCACATAATTTCTACCACCCACTCACTCATGCTGCACTTTTAAATCACCCTAGCTTTGCCTTGCTTTATATAGCAGTGATGGCAACCCAGTTCTAACACATGCTGTTGCTGTGTTTAATTTGCCCGGTAGAGACCAAGGTACATCTGAGAACAGGTGAAGGGCCATGGTGAGCAGCCGAGTGCCTTGCTTTGCATGTGAATGCTCCCATCGTCAGGCCTTGGTCTCTTCGGATAAAAAGGGTGACGTAGAGCAGGTGATGGGAAAGGCTTCTGCCAGACACCGTGGATAATCTCTCCCAGTCATAGTAGGCTTATTGGGCTGGGGAGCACAAATGTAGTCTGATATTAGGCAGCTTCCTATGTTCCTAATAGGAAATGGAAGCGCAATGCAAATCAGTGAAAAAATAGGGAAAGGCAACTTATTTCCAGCTTCAACATTCATACAAAAATATCATGCCTTTCAGTCTTCCACACATTGACATTATTATTTTTTAAATGATATTTATTAGAAGTTTAAAGATTACAGAAAAAAGAAAAAAAGACAACAATAAAAAAATCAAAAAATCCCAGAACATACCTTACAATACATAAAAAGAAAAACATAGAAAAGCAATACAACAATACAGTAAAAAGAAACAAAAAGACTAAAACACACACCCAATATTCCATATCTTTACCTTTCCTTTACTTGTTTCATCGACCTCCTCACACCTCCCTTTTTTGTATTCTAGTTCAATTCACTATTTCAGCAAATTCTTTCCATCTTTCTCAATTTTTGTTCTATAATTTATCTTAACAATCTAACCTTAAATTTTTTCGTTTTGGCCCATTATCAATCAGCTTTTACTTAATTCTTTGTTACATTTCTACTAAAACCATATAGTTTCATTCCAGCATCCTTCTAACACTCATTAATTTTACAATGTTTCTGTAAATATACTTTAAATTTTTTCCAATCTTCTTCCACCAACTCTTCTCCCTGGTCTCGGATTCTGCCAGTCATTTCCGCCAGTTCCATGTAGTCCATCAGCTTCATCTGCCATTCTTCCCTGGTGGGTAGCTCTTGTGTCTTCCACACATTGACATTAGTTGCATGGCACCCTGCATCTGCAAAACTCTCAAGTATATGGAGAAGCTTCCTATATATTCCTTCTGGGTAATTTGTTAGTAGATATGCAAAGCAAGATTTCTTTCTGCGTACACTGTACTTGATTTGTTGCTGGCAACATTTGACAGCTCACCTGATCAGCTTTTGGCCTCATAATTATTTCAAACTGTCTTTGTTCTTTCTGTGCCTTCTGCAGTATATTTGATTATTATTTTTTTGGTCCTTATTAACTTTTTACAGCATGTTTTTCAGCTGTGGCTAAAATCACAGTGTTAATGAACCAACCATGGTAATCACTATTACTTATCTAGGAGCTTTAATGAAGCATAATTAAAACTAACATGACATGTATGGAAAGAGCTGTTCCAAACTCTTTTATTATTATTATTATTTATATCCTGGTTTTTTTCTTGAATAGAAATTATTCCTTATTCCAGTTTTCGGTGCAATAATTGCTGCATTCAGTGAGAGCTTTTTCTTATCAGAAAACCAGAACCTGAGGGGGAAAACACCATAGTTTCCTTGGGAGGGACATTTAGCTAATCCTTAAGTCAAACACACTCAAGAAACATACTCAAGAAAATGGAAGTACATGTCACAGTGAGGAATTGCTTCAACAACTAGCATATGATTCTTTCCCCTCTTGCATGAGAATATATCGAATGAAGAATTATGGCAGATTATATATTCCATTTAGGAGATAATTGTGAACATATATGTGAATGTTTGCATGTTGAAATTCTTTAACGCTCCAGATAAAACATGCTTTTTTTATTATGCAAATCTCCTCTTTTCATACTTTTTGAGGAATAGATCTAGAGAGTATAGCACTTGCACTTTAAAGCAAAGTTTTTATGTCAACAGATAGCATGCAAAAAAAGGTTAATAAAGCAAATTTGCTCTCCATCCTTAACTGATGTTGTTTTAATAAGCTGCTTCAATTCGATAGACTTAGCTTTTCTTCTATTCTGCTATATTTGAACTAGCTGTTTTAAGTCACAAGTGTTCTATTAAGACATATGTAATGACAAATCTTACCTCTCCTTAAAGTAAATCCAAACTCCAGCAGCAAAAATTGGTTAATGTCATTTTAATGTCACCAGTAGATTTTAAGTACAGGATAAATCAATTATTGTAATCGCAGCCCTTGTGTAAATCACTAAAGGCAAACCAACCTCAGGATTATAAAATGAATCTTTGACAAGTATTCAAGGTTTTAGCATATTCCCAATAATGAGGATTAAGCACTTGCTATCTTGTGAAAGAAAAGTTTTATTCAGTTACTAAGGAATATGTGCGTAATCATTAAGAGAGGTCAGATTAACAAAGGTATTTTGCAAAAAAAAAGGGCACCCAGTACAACATCTGGTGGAAGATCAATGATAATTTTGTCAATTCTTTTTGTAAAAGGGGAAAGATTAAGAAAGTGATAAGATAATGGAGTAGCTTAATGCTATATTTTGAAAGAATGGACAGAAATTATAATGGTATCATAAAATATAATTATATAACTTTTTGACATTTTTATGTCAAGAAAAAGACTATTCTTCCTTGAACCAAGAGCAAACAATGATTTCTGAAATCCACGGGCAATTCAGTCAATCCCAAATAAGTCCTGATTCTACATGAAGGGATTATGTAAAAAAGGCTCCAGACTAGTCTATCTGGTTCATTACAATTCCTCACACTTCACTTTTTTGTAGCTGTATATGCGGAAAAGAAATTTGAATGTAATGTTCTGACTCGTGATGAAATCCTGTGATTTTTTTTTTAATAAAAAAAGACCAGTCATATGTTTAATTGGATAATTTGCTCCAAAATACAGTTCACTCTGAAGGAGACTTTATGCTGAGTATAAATGATGAATAATCTTACCATGTATTGCTTTTCGAAAAGCCAGCCTTTTACTTTTCTGTTTAGTGGAATGTTGAAAACAGAACGAGTCGTCAGCAGGAATGTGTCTTATAAGGGCAAAATGGCTTTATTGTATTATCATTAATAATTTAATTATTAATGAGAAACTGTGCATTAAGTGTCAGAATATTTTTTTATTAATGTCTGATATCAATGTTTACAGGTGCTCCCCCCCCCCCGTAACGTTGCAGTATATACATTTCAGCACATATATCTTTTTAATCCAAGTACACTTGGGTTTTATCTAGAAAGATTTGTTTTGTACAAGCATTTTAAATTAATGAATATGACTTGGCTCTGGGGATCCCTTTCTGTTAATTGGAAGAGGGTTTTAAAAATACCTTCTCCAGCTTCCCGTTCTGTCCTTTTGGCACATGGAATTACAAGTTTATTTTTAAACAGCACGATACAAAATTCCGTGTCTGTTGCAACGGGGAAAAGAATTTACATTGCTATTTGAGCTGCAATTTTTTTCTTTTCCAAAACAACACGTCTCTGTTCATAGATACGTCTTTCTGCATGCTTACAGTCTTGGTGTCATATGAATTGTGGCGTAATAGCATTTAGTTATGGATGTGTTGGGGAAATGTGCATATTATTCATAAATTGCACTCCACAATGTAAATGAATATCTGCCATTTGAAAACAAAACCAAAAACATTTTAACCACTTCAATTTCAAGAACCAAAATATTTTTTAAAAAAATATTTATTCTTCAAATAAAACATAAATGCCATGGCTACTAAATTGGAAAGAAAATTGTTATATGAAAGTCATATGTGGTTTAAATGTACTGCATTTTAGATCTTGATGTAAGAATAAATATTCTTACGACAGGCTTCCTCTGTATAGGAGTAATGTTTATAGATTTGTCTGGTTGCTAAATTGTTGACCCTATTTAATTTAGTTTTTCATGTGAAAGATTTTAATTTTCTTTTATTGCTACACATTAGATGCCATTGTTCCTCATGCAACTGAGGACTGAATTTTATTATCTGGTGCGGGTTCTAGAGGGGAAAGCGAAATGATCGAAGAGGAAAATCACAGTCCTTTAAAAAGAAGGATTCCTTGACAAAATTGTAATCACCTTTAGAAACAGTTTGCGGATAATCAAGGATTGTTACAGTAAATGAATAGCATCAAGAACACGCTGCTTAAAAGACGGGGAATTTCTGCTGAAGGGATATATTAATGCATAGAAAGATCATCTGAGTCTGTCCTGTATATGTGATAGAACAGAAATTTGCAGTAGACGTCTGGCATCTGGTGGCTTGGAAATGAAATGACAGCCTTTCCTGAAAGGCAGCAAGAATGTTTAAAGACTGCTTCGAATCTTGGTTTTATTGCAAATGGGAAATCACAGTTTCATTTCCTAACAAACTTTCAAAGCCTCTCAATTTTTTTCTGTGGAGAATTTGGAGTTCTTGCAACATCTCTGTGTGGTCATAATACTAATGATAATAGAATCATAGAGTTGGAACCTGAAACCTTGGCGTTATCAGCACCACGCTGTAACCAACTGAGCTATTGAGGGTGATTGCTATTGGTTTAATGTCTATGTGCCAAAACATATGGCCATTTCTCTGAATTTACCCCTCTGATCTCAAAGTACCTTTCTTTGTGGGAGAAAGCAAGACAAGTGAGGGTTTTTATGCCACATCAAACAGAGAGGAAGGAAGGAAGGAAGGGTCTCTAGAATGCTGAATTTAATCACTTTCCCACAAGTTCTGCAACTAGAATAAATTATGTAAATAAACTTGACATCAGCTGGGGTTGTCCCGCCCACCCTGTATCTCCAGTGCTGTGTCTAGCTCTGTTTTGCCATGCAGATTTCTACAGCCTCTAGTTATAAGCAACTGCCTTCAACTTCTGTGGCAAAAACTATACAGCGCCGTGACTTTCCCTTTCTTCTTGGATGGTTATTTTGGGATATTGGTTAGAAATAAAAATCCTTGCATTCTTCCATTGCTGTGATAGGATAACTGATACTTTCATATACTTGATGCTATGCAAACAATACACCTAAAATAATCTACAAACTGACCCATCCATGGGTTATAAAGTGGTTATTCTCAGTGTGTGCCATTCTACATGAACATGATAACCTTTGAAATAGTTCTCCAGGGAGGAACAGAATAGAAAGATTGAATAAAAGAGGATAAATAGATATTTTTTTAATTCTATGGTGCGTATTATTCATACTTTTCTGAGACATTCAGATATGGAGCTCTGGCATCCTTTCCTCTATTAGCAAACTTGGGTGGCCTCATGCCACACGACCATCAGTTTGGAAGAAAAAGGGGCCAGCCAGACATAACAGGTAGGTTTCTGTATAACCAAGGAGCAACCCAGGAATCCTAAAGTATTCTGTTCATACAGTAATAGGAAATAAAAGTTTTGAAAATCCAAAAGACATTTCTTTCTATGCTCAGTGACTCCCAGGACCTATGAAATGTTGATGACTTCAGTTTGCAGATTAAAGGAATGTGGAGAGTGTTATGCACTGAGCTTGGATCCTAGAACAATAGGCAAGTAGGATCCTAGAAGGCAGCAACCTGATTGGTCTGCAGGAGCCACCCAATCCGGCTCCAGGAGGAAGTGAATCAGCAACCTGATTGACCTACAGGAGCAGCCCAATCCGCCTCCAGGAGGAAGTGAATCAGCATCCTGATTGGCCTGCAGGAACAGTCCACTCAGGCTCCAGGAGGGGAGTTGAATCAGCCAATCACATGGGACCCATTGTGTAAATAATGTACAGTGGTACCTCGGGTTAAGTACTTAATTCGTTCCGGAGGTCCGTACTTAACCTGAAACTGTTCTTAACCTGAAGCACCGCTTTAGCTAATGAGGCCTCCTCCTGCTGCTGTGCCGCCGGAGCACGATTTCTGTTCTCATCCCGAAGCAAAGTTCTTAACCTGAAGCACTATTTCTGGGTTAGTGGAGTCTGTAACCTGAAGCGTATGTAACCCGAGGTACCACTGTATATATAACCAGAGGTTTGGGGGGAAAGCACTCACTCACTGTTTACCATGAGCTGAAATAAAGAGCATGAAATCAGCACTGAACTCCGAGTATATTTCAGAGAGGGATGGAAGGACTTGCTTTGTTTGATCCCTTAACTGCTTGTGGTATCCTAGAAGGGAGCTTAGGGTTAAGAGGATCTGTGGATCTTCTCCATGCTATATGCGAAAGCTTTGGGACAGGGAAGGGGGAAAAGCACATTTCCACTTCTCCACTATCCAGATACCAAATGATACAGCAATAAAACACTGAGCCCTTGAACACTTAATAGCACCGTGCAGGGTAGTTTCAGTAAGGTAGAAATGAAAAAGGGGTGTCCTTTTTCCTTTCCCGCCTCCACATCTGTGCACATCTGCACTGCTAGGTTCCTGTTCCAGGCTGGTTGGAGCTCCTTAGAGGGTTTGTTTCTAGGGGCTGAGGAAACACTGCAACATTCAGTTGTGAGTCTGCTTATTGTGGGCAAATAACACAGAGATAAGAACATTTCCTTTGTGGGAATTTCACTTGGACAGATTTTGTTATTCATTTGTTCAATTTTTAAAGTTCTCTTCATCTGTTAAGCCTAGGCTTCTTTTGGAGCTATCCAGGGTTCCACCCACCTTACATTTTTTGCCTTTTGATCTTGAACCTCTGCTTTGCCCTGCCCTTCTTTATCTGGACTTGTTCTCTGCTTTGTTTGAGCTTGCCTTGCTAGAATATGAGTTAGGCTGGGATTTGAAACTGGTGTTGGAGGTACATGATCTGGTGTCCCTGACCTCTGTGCTCAGCATAAGCCCCTACCGGGCTAGAACCACATTATCCCTGAGCTGAGACCACTGCCTTGGACAGAACAAGAGGCTCTAACAGTTCCTCAAGAATTATTGGGGATCAGGCATCCAACCACTTAAATAATAAGGTGCCTATGCTTATATAGAAACATCCAGGAAAAGGCCAATGATGGGAGATGGTGGAACATAAAAAGTTGTCTTTTTGAGGCAGGTGATGGATCTGCTTATCACAGTATTATGGGCACTGGCTGCCAGTGACTCTTCAAAAATACTCGGGACAGAACCTGGGATCGCAAATAGGAAGGGAAGCCAAGGTGATAAGGATTGAAATAATTGAGGCTAGGAAACATCCATCGAAGACTTGGCCATAATGTTTTAAAGCAGATAACTCTTATAGGCTCAGTAACTTGAGGAGTGTGCAAAGAGTGATGCTGAAGTCTGTTGATGTGAATACTGATGGCAGCAGTTTCTCAGGCATGGGGCTTTCATTGTCTGGCCTCTAAGTCAGTCAAATGAACCATGGGTAGCTTGGTTAGGTTACAGATTAGAAAGAAAGAGAAGGCATTTGCATTTTCCCTCCAGGCTCATTGCTGTCTTAATGGGTTGACCTGGGGTTGTGGGTCCCTGGCGTGGGTCCCTAGCCATGATGGCTATGTTCTGTCACCACAGTGAGAGGCAGCATGCCTCTGAATACCAGTTGCTACATGAGCAGAATGCTGTTGTGCTTGTGTCTTCCTTGCAGGCTTTCCACAGGCATCTGGCTGGCCACTGTGAAAACAGGATGCTGGACCAGATTTAGGAGACTCTTATGTTCTTATGTGGTCAGTTCTTTGGGGACAGGACTGGATTTAGACTCCAGCATTTCTGATGCAGGAGTCCCTGATTCAGAGGCTTCTAATCCAATGGGCTCAGGCCTCATAAAGTCAGGGCCCATGTAGTTTTCCAGCATTTCTGCCTGTGTTGCTGCTTGTCAGATGGACCTGACTGGCTCCTCTTCATCTGAGTTGCTCTCCAAGAACCAGGCTATTGCTCAGAGTTGGGCCCTGACACTGTCTTAGCAATCCTTCAGGACTGAAAGACAGCCTAGAAATCAAATCAGTCAGTCAGCCAATGAAAAATTTCCATGACTTCCTACTGCCACATTTACTTCTTGCCAGAAAAGTCCGTGCAATTGCCACAGAAACAATTTAGATTTTTAAAGTCTAAATTCAAATGTGATTTGGCATTTTCTCTTTCTCCCCTTTCATCTCTACCATTCATATCTGGCATCACATAACGTGGCTGTGGAATTCAATCTGTGAAATGTGACTTCAAAATTTATATTAAATCCACTGAAAAGTGCTGATTCAACTTTCAACAGCCCAGTCAGCATCATGCTTGTCTGCATTGTATCAGCTGTTGTCAGAAATTTGGAGGGCATCACTGGTACATAAAAGTGAAATGTGAAAAAATGGCATATTTTGGATTTCAGGGTGGTGGAGAATGGTTTCCTCCAAAAAAAGAGTTTCTGCTTTCAATCATCAATCAATTTCTTTATTCGACCGATAGTCAGAATTAAAACATTACACAATAATTATAAACTATAACATCATAAGTTACATAAGGTACATAAGTAAGGTAGAGCCACAGTACTAGATCTCTCACAGATAACCCACGTCAAAGCATTCAATTATACGTTTCCGACACTTGAGTGCCAGGAAAAGAAATTTAGCCACTGACAAGGTTGTTTTCCCAGAAGACTTATTTAGCAGATATGCTGTCTGCTTTCCTCTTTGTCGGGAACTGAGCTGGGGTAAGTATGGAGTTATAAGATACTGTCTTAAATCGTTGTAGAAGGGACAGCTCAATAAAATGTGCTCTGTGGATTCTACCTCACCCAATGCACAGTGGCATAATCTCTGGTCATATGGGACTCCTCCATATCTTCCCTTCAGGACCGCCGAGTCAAGAACATTCAGCCTAGCCGCAGTAAATAGTCTGCGGTATTCCACGTAGTGGATATCCGCCAGGTAGCGAGCTGGGGCAGCCCGATACAACTGCTCCCCCAGAAACAACCCAGGTTTCACACGGGCTATGTCCTCCTGTCTGGCAATATCCCTTAATCTTTGCGCGATCACCGCCTTTGCGTGGCTATACGTCATGGACTCTATATAAAGGGAGGACAACCCACACTTCTGCACTTCCTCCACTATCTCCCCTTCCCATGGAGATTTAAAGTTATCCCTCAGAATCAAGGGGGCCAAACCCACCGGTCTGAAACAGAGCTTGAGCCATAGCCATAACTTCGCTTTCAGGGCCACATACCTAAAGGCTTGACAACCGGTTTCCAGCCTCATGATCGCACCTGCCACAGAGGGGGATCCTGAGTATGGCCCTGAGGAATTGGGTTTGGATAGATTCCAATTTTTCAAAATCCCTACGTGAGCCCAAGGCAATGCCCACCAGCAGAAGAGGGAGGACTTTCATTTTAAAGAGACGTAAGGCAACATTGACAGTTTGTGCCTGTTTCTTGGAGTACAGGGTTCTAATCATCAGGGCTGCTTTGGATGCGTTCGAGGCTATGTATTCTCTGTGCGCCAGGAAGGACCTATTTGATCTTACAACCTGACCCAGGTACTTGAAGCAACTGACCTGCTCTAAAGGAATACCATTAATTGACCATAAATTAGGTTTCGGTCGAGCAGCAAAGACCATTATTTTGGTCTTGGCATAATTTAATTGGAGCTCGTGTTGGGTCTCATATTCATGAAGAGCTCGAAGCATCCTCCTTAATCCGATGGGGAGGTAGCTAATAGGGCGGCATCGTCCGCATACAGTAGGACATTCAAGGCTCGTCCTGCCAGTTTTGGTGGATGGAAATCAGCATTTGCCATATGCACCACTAGCGAATTTATATAGAAGTTAAACAGAGCAGGGGCAAGCAAACAGCCCTGTCTTACCCCCCTAGTGGTGGCAACCGGATTGGAGACTAGCCCCTTACTATCTATCCTAATCCTCAAGAGGGTATTTGTATGCAAATTAATAATCAGCAAGAGAAGGCGGCGGTCGATAGATGTCGCTGCCAATTTTGTCCATAGCTGGTTCCTGGGAATTAGATCAAAGGCCTGCTTAAAGTCTATAAAGGCGACGTGGAGGGCTTTTAGGCCATTGCCAGCGTACTTAGTGGCCAAGTGATTTAGGATTAAGATTTGGTCTGTTGTTGATCTTCCGGGCGGAAACCCGCCTGTTCCTCTGCGATGATATTGTTGCTTTCCATCCAGGTCGTTAATTTGTTAAGTAGAAATCTTGAATAGATCTTCCCGATAACATTTAGCAGGCTAATTGGTCTAAAATTGGCCGGGTCTGTGCGCGGCCCTTTCTTGTGAATTAACACAATCAGTGCAGAGTTCCAGCTTGGAGGAAATTGTGCTGTTTTGTTTATATAAGTAAAAAGAGCTGCTAGGGGTGGACACCACCAATCCTTATTGGCTTTGATAAGATCTATGGAAATAAGATCGTCTCCGGGTGCCTTGCCCGCCTCAAATTGGCCTATAAGTGTTTCCACTTCAGAGCAGGTAACAGGATCCCACTCTGGCAAGGGGGCCAAATCTAACCTTCCTCCGCTAGCTGCGTGAGCTGCATATAAAACGGAGAAGAAGCTTTCCCAGGTGTCAGCTGAAATTTGGGGTTCTATCCTTGACAACGGTCTACCCAGGTATCTGGAAATTTGGTGCCAAAAGGAGGAGGGATTTCTATTTTCTGCAGCTTTTAGAAGGTTCTTCCAATCATTTCTTTCTGCCGCACGCTTCTTTTCCTTTAATAGTGCTTTATACCTTCTCTTGAGGATCATAAGGTGACTGCTAGGTGCGGAGTCATTTGATGCCCTATATGCCAAGAATTCATTATATAGGTTGTTCTTGAAGTGCCTGCATTCCTCATCAAACCACTTTTTATGAGAGAAATGGTTACTATTCATTACCGGGGTCTTAGCCAACGAAGGTTTTAGCAGTTCTACTAAATTGTCATATATTGGCAGTGGCTCAACTGCCTGGATAAGGGAGTCCCTTGTCTCTTGCAGTTGGTCAGACCAAAGGAGTTCATTTATCCGTTGAGCCATATTGTCGGTCCATTTTAAGGCAGTGGGCCTCATCTGAAGCTGGTTATTTGTAATAGGCACGCAGGAGTAGGTAGCCAATTCTCCATCCAGGGTCAGCGAAAGTTCTAATGGAAAATGGTCACTTTCCAGCCTCGTTACCACCCTAAAGTTGGAAATTTTGGGAATTAGGTCTGCTGATGTCCAAATAAAGTCTATGGTAGAGGCTCGGGAGCCTGACCAGAAAGTAAATTCGGCAGGGTAATCAGAACTGAGAGCTCCGTTTAAAAGGTGAAAATTAAGAGCCATCAAAGTTTGTCTACATTTAAAACCTGCATATGTAGCAACACTGTCTTTAAAATTCCTGGGTAAAAGGTCTGAGGTTAAAATGGGTAGTGAGGGATATTTATTATATTTAGCAAATAATGATTTATCAGAGTGAGACAATCGGCCATTGAAATCTCCTGCAACTAGGAAGGTGGCTTCAGGATATTTCTCTAGGAGAGTTTCAAGAGTCTGTTGAATTTCCCTCCATCTTTGGACCACCAGGTTTTTCTTATAGATTGGGTGCAAATAAACATTAATCACCACAAACACTTCCTCCGCTGTTTGTAGCTTAACACCCAGCATGGATGACGACTGGATGTCGATTTGTTCCACCTGCAGGTTTAAGGCCAAAGAAACTAGGGTAGCCAACCCACCTTGTGGTCTGCCAGGAGATAGTAAATTCTGATATGCATTCAGGTAGAAGCCCTTATACCCTGATAGGGAGAAGCCCTCACAAGCCCAGGTCTCTTGCAGCAAAAGCAAAGTTTCTGCTTTGAGTTTACATGTACTAATTAGCCGACTCTTATCTTGGTATATAATGTGACATGATTGCAGCCTTAATATTGCATCTTTATATGTGAATCCTATGATATATTTAAAAAGTGAATCTTTGTTAATGAACTCTCTCCTTCCACTTAGACTGTTTGAAGCATTCAGTCCAGCCACTCTACAATATTAACAGATGCAGAGTCAGACAGAAAACCTATTGATCAAAAGTGATATATCCAGAAGCAACATACTGTTTACAGTAAGTTATCATTCAACTGAATAATGATTTAGCCATTTACTAGGAAAATCTTCCAAATTGAAGTCTAATACACAGATACTAGGTCTTCCTGATGGCACCACATTGCCAAGATTAAGTCCCATAAAGTATCTCACACAAATTTTATTGAAACTACTGCACAGTTCTTTATGTGTGGGATACAGAAGCACATAAAGTATCTTGCAGTAAATTTTGTAATGAATGGCCACAAACTGCTTGTTAAAGGTCCCTGTGTGAATGTTCAGCCCCTCAGAAGCTATTGCCACTCTGATGTATTTTTCTAATAGTTTGCAGCCTACCAAAACATGTCAAGAAGATATAAGTATGGGCAAATGACTTAATGGTAAACATAAGTACTATAGCATGGAAGATGAGATTATCACAGCATCTATCTATCAAAAGGTGTGTCACGGAGTGTTTGACTGACCATGAATCCTTTGCAAGTTGGTAGCATGGACTCTCCTGGATTTATTGGAAGGGAAAGTGGTATACTGTATTGAGCAGGGAATTTGTGGCAAATACTTCTCTTTTTTTGCTTCTTGAGAAGTCTTTGGTAAAATGGAGACGTCCTGCAAAATGCTAACCATGTTTGCTTTAACTCTGGTAAAGATCCAAATAGCACAATGAAATCATGGTGCATCTTGCTCAATTATCCCTAGAGAATATGTATAGGGACACACCAGTGAGATCTGCTGCTTACAGTCTTTTAAAATACAACATTAGAAAAACGGGGGTTGCGTTAACCATGGTTAAATATTATTGGGGTGTATGGGGTGTTAGAGGAAGGGTAATGTGCCTCCTTTTGGCAACTCCTGCAGCCAGGCTGGTGCCGAACATACTGCTCTGCTTTCCTTTGGACTGCATCAGCGAGGTCGAGAGGGGAGTCTTGTTGTCTGGGCAGCCCAGGACCTCCACGCATACTGCCCAAGCTTGTGCTCCAGGGAGGTCACTTAGGTGCCAACACAATGGTTTGACTTCACCCCCGGAGGTGCATTCCACTGTCTCTCAAGACAGATGGATGCCAGCAGGTTAAGTATTATGTCAATATAGGCATAATAATTATATCCTTCAAGCTGTGGGTTTGCATCCTGAACTGTAAAGGTAAAGGGACCCCTGACCATTAGGTCCAGTCATGGCTGACTCTGGGCTTGCGGCGCTCATCTCGCTTTATTGGCCGAGGGAGCCGGCGTACAGCTTCCGGGTCATGTGGCCAGCATGACTGAACAGCATGACAGCATCCTGAACTGTAGCCAGACTTAAACGGGTTTAAGGACTGTTGAGCCACTTTTTGTCAAGGCAGATAAACCATGCACAACCATGGTTTATGTGGCCGATCATTACAAAATTTCAAACTGAAAGCTGGGGATCTAGAGATTGCGGAAATTAACATCCACCCTTCCAACTTTCAAAATCTCCACTTTGACTTTGCAAATGCAAAATGTTATACACCCTGATTGATACAGAGTAAAGACCAAAATGTTTGCCACTTATGTCTGGCATGAAATGAAGAGGATATTTCGCCAAGCCGTGTAAGAGACTTGTCAAGCATTTCTGCTCACCCTGTTTGGCAGGAATTGCATCATAAGCCTTTTGACTGATGCCAGGTTGACAAAAAAAAAGAGGGGCTTTGTTGTGGCATTAATGTTTTGAAAGTGATGTTTTTGTCCCGTGCCTCAAGTGACATAACGGATCATCCCTCTTAAACCCTTTGCTGATACAGCCACTGTGATCAGGGTGATTGATGAAAAATCCAATTGGCTCTGAATGTTTTTATTGTTAAATTGTATGGAAGAACAAGACACTCTACTGATATCTTCACTTCTATGGGCAATGGCTGGACATATGCATGCAGTTCAGTATATGAATGCTTGCACACATCTCAACATATGCACCAACAGAACGAGCACACCTACAAAACAAGTAATTAAAGTTGTTTTAAAAACTAAGGGGCTCCACACTAAATGCTCATTTTCTGACCTTGCAGTTCTCCTAATGAATGGGATACAGTAAGCACAACAGCAAAGATGTCAGATTTGAAAGTCAGAAATCTGAGTTCAAGTCCTTTCTTTGCTATGACTCTTTCTGGGTAATCTGAGGCAAGTGAGCACTTAGAAAAGGATGCTGTAATTTCTAAGGCTCAGCATGGGTTTCTCAAAAACAATTCATGCCAGACAAATTTCATTTCTTTTTTAGAAAATAGATTTACAAGCTTGGTGGATCAGGGGAATGCTTTGGACATAGTATATTTTGATTTCAGTAAGGTTTTTTAACAAACTCCCCCATGATATTCTTGTGGAAAAGCTGGTAAGATGTGGGCTGGACAAGGTTGCTGTTAGATAGATTTGTAGCTGGTTGACTGACTGAACACAAAGAGTGCTCACTAATGGTTCCTCAGCATCCTGGAAAAAAGTGACAAGTGGGGTATCACAGGGTTCCGTCCTGGATGACTTGGATGAAGGAATTGAGGGGATGCTCATCCAATTTGCAGATGGCGCCAAACTGGGAGGGGTAGCTAACACAGCAGAAAACAGAATTGGGACTTTAACAGATTAGAGAACTGGGCCCAAACTAGCAAAATGAGGGACAAATGTAAGGTCAATGGGGACAAATGTAAGGTTCTACACTTAGGCAGGAATAACAAGCTGCATAAATATAAGATCGAGGATACCTGGTTTACTAGTAGTACATGTGAAAAAGATCTAGGGGTCTTAGTAGAACACAACCCCAACATGAGACAACAGCGTGATGCAGCAGCCAAAAAAGCTAATGCTATTCCAGGCTACATCAACAGAAGTATAGCGTCCTGATCAAGGGAAGTAATAGTACTGCTGTATTCTGCCTTGGTCTGGAGTCCTGTGTCTAGTTCTGAACACCGCAATTTAAGAAGCATATGGACAAGCTGGAATGTATGCAGAGGCGTGCAACCAGTGGTCTGGAAATCAAGCCTTATGAGGAACAGTTGAGGAAGCCTGAGAAGAGATAGAATAGCTATCTTCAAATATCTAAAGAGCTGTCACATGGAAGATGGAGCAAGCTTGTTTTCTCCTGTTCTTGAGAGAGATTCCGACTAAACTTTAGAAATAACTTTCTGACAGTAAAAGCTGTTCAACAGTGGAACGAACTCCTTTGGAACGTGGTAGTTTTTAAGCAGAGGTTGGGTGACCATTTGTCATGGATGCTTTAGCTGTGATTCCTGCATCATAGGAGGTGGGTCTAGATGGCCCTCAGAGTCCCTTCCAATTCTTTAGTTCTTTGATTCTGAGTCTCTAGCTTTCTATTCAGTCTACTTCTCAGGGTTGTTGTGAGACTAAAAAACTCTACTTGCATGTTTCTTGCTTGCATCCCTGAATCCTTTTGTTGTCTCTTTTCAAACTTGTTTCCCCCCTCACCTTTTTTTTTGTTTTTAAATGAATCTATCTCACACTTTTGTATAGGTGACAAGCTTTTTCAATACTGAGGCACCAAGATTCATGCAAAAGCCATATGTAATTCTTGATACATTACATACTGGAGCACCATAATGCAGGACAGGCTTCCTCAACCTTGGCCCTCCAGATGTTTTTGGCCTACAACTCCCACAATCCCTAGCTAGTAGGACCAGTGGTCAGGGATGATGGGAATTGTAGTCTCCAAACATCTGGAGGGCCGAGGTTGAGGAAGCCTGGTGCAGGATAACCTCGGCCTTTCAGGCTGATTGAAAACAACAGCATACAGAACAAAACTGTGTGCAAAGCTTTATCTTTTGTGACTCTTCCAACATGGAAAAATAAGAATGAACTCTAGTGGGGAAATATGGATCCTGGTAAATGTTTTACTTTTAAATTTACACCGTCGGAAAACATCAGAATTAAATCATGTCTTATAAATTATTATTTACTTCTTAAAATTTAGATACCACTTGAAAAACCTCAAAGTGGTTTACAAAAATCATGGGCACACACACATGTGAAAGTAAAATGGAGATAGATTCATACACAGCTATGTGGATTTAACCACCATCATCATCATCACAGCGACCTCATTTCCAAACTTTAAAATTTTGTTATACAGTATAACAACCGTGCCAATATTTTTGTGCCAAATTTACTAGCAGGCTATAAGAAATGGGTTTGCTTTATTGCATATTTTAGTTATGGATGCTGATATATTAATGCTTCTATAACTGGTTTTTATATTTGTAAACCACTTAGAATGCAATTTTTGGCATTAGTGGTATATCAAGTAAATTATATGATATCATTAATAAATCATGATAGTAATAATACCAAGAACCCTTTTGCAGGCACACCTCTGCAAGCGAGGGGGTGGGGGGGTAGCAGCTTGGGGGATTTTTAGCAACAATTGGAGAGGAGGAAGGATTAGTCCTATCCTGCAGCCCTTATTTGGGGGGTTTGGTGGTTTTAATTAATGTGCACACTAATAAAACACACTAGTAACACAACATGTAGTTTGGTTCTAAATCTGCCATTTTATGCCCATTTGCTTGGGAGTGGGCCTTACTAAACTGAGCAGGACCTCCTTTTATGTAAACATGCATAGGATTGTGTTGCGATGAAGGAAATGAGAGGAGGAAACCCCATGCCTCATTGATGTAATTGTCCTTGGAGACATTCACAGAATCTCTGAAGAGTCTGGCACCTTGGAGGTCATATCTCTAATTGAATGTAGAGGTGCCTTATTTTGGCTTTTATATCAGTGAATATGATTAAACTCCTGCTGTTGTGCTAAATTTCAAAGATTATAAAAAATCAGGGGAATTAAAAAGGTCACTGCAGTATTTCATTTCAATAGCAAATCTGTAGAGTAATATTGTACACGTGCGTGGGAAGTTACTTTGAAGAACTGCTCTGGAACTTGTTCCTTGTTTCGTTCCATTTGGCGAATGCCACTCAGTTCTATGAAAATAAGCAGAACTGATCTCCCATGCTTACCACCCCAATCCAGAGCAGAGGGAAGATCTGCTCATTCCACATGGAAATCTCCCCCCCCCATTTCTATACCAGAAGGGGAAAGAACTGCAGAAGTAGCACCTACTGTGAAATAAGAGAGTTATTAATCAAAGACACGTGTCCGCCATGTTCTTCTCTGAATCAAAGCTATATAGATCATGGGCTTCAACTCACTGGTCCTCTTCCCACCCAAACCAGCTCTCTTGTTGTCCACCTTTCTTGGTTCTTATATCACACAGAGTAACCATCTTTTGAAGGGGTGAGAGGCACAAATAGCATTTCCCTTTCTCCCCAAAAATATTTAGTTTGGACAGTGTGTTGTAATGGACATCCACAGTGAACCTTGCCTTCTGAATGATGTACTACTACTACCCATTGAGACTGGTAATGGCAGAAGGTAGGAAGGTCAACAGCAGGTGGAGCCATAGCCAATGACAGACGAAGCCATCTAATTCTAGTTTCCCCCCTTCCTGCTCCTTGTTTTCTATAGGGATTAATAAGGAGGAAGCTGAAACCAGTATCATGGGCTGGTTGGATGCAGAGAAATTGTGGGAGGCACCAGCTAGGGAACTCCTAAGGGAAGAAGGCTCAAAGCCCAGGGAGTGGTGGTAGGGCAGTGATGAGTGGGAGAAGAGGGAGAAGACTGGGAAGAGGAGGTGTTGGAAGCTGAAGATATAACAGGGTATAGTGAACAGGAGAGTCTGTGGCAAAGACATGTCCAGAAGCAGTGGCAGAAGCAGAAGCCTTTTTCCCCTACTCCCCACTACTCCCCTGTATCTAGCCAGTCCATGACATCAGGTAACCTGAGGCTCCAGCGGTGAATAGATGGATCCAGGAGCACACGCAAACTCCAAACCTGTTCTTTCAAAGGGAATACAGCCCCATTCAGAAGAGGGACAACTAGCAATACTCCTAGACATGAGAACCTCTTCCATCTTCCCTGGGTTCAAGCTCTGCTTATTAGCATCCACTTCACCACTGTGCCCAAGCATAGCTGTCAACCTTCCCTTATTTGGTGGGAAAATCCCTTATTCCAGCGCCATTTCCTGCTGCTATCCCGGATTGTTGATATCCCGTAAATTTCCCAGATTTCAAAGGAAGCAGCTCCTCTCCCTCCCTGCTGGCCAGGGAGGCTCCTCAACTGCGTTGCTCGGCTGCGTTGCTCACCAATAAGGAGTCTGAGAAGGACTGGGGGGTGGAGCTTGCATGCCTTGTGCTGATCAAATCGGCCGCGTTGCCTGGGGCCTCGCCTTTGCTTCAGCGCTTCCCAGCGGAGAGGTGATGGTGTGGTTTTCCTTGCTGCTGTATCCCTTTGCCGGGTTGCTGCACTGTGGGAACCACCGCTTGAGGCTTCGTTTGGCTGCTGGCTGGGCTTTCTGCCTTTGGGCCTTTGGCTTGGAGGGGATCTACTCTGTGTGTGTGTGTGTGTGTGTGTGTGTGAGAGAGAGAGAGAGAGAGAGAGAGTGAATGTGTCACTTAAGCTGATAGTAGGAATGCTGTAGCTTCACACACTTACCTTCACACAATGTGTAGTTAACTTGGGGAATGTTTTTACTGCAGGATGTGGTGAGGTCAGTACTTTAGATTTACAAGGGGATCTGAGAGATGAATGGGAGATACGGTTTGTCAGTATTAATGGACAGCTAAAAATTAACTTAACCCCAAAAGTTAGGACCAAGATTCAAATCCTGACTGGGTAACTTTGCTCACTAGTAACATTGAACCATGAGGACGAGATGGTTGGACAGTGTTCTCGAAGCTACCAGCATGAGTTTGACCAAACTACAGGAGGCAGTGGAAGACAGCAGTGCCTGGGACAGGTGAGGCTGCTGATCCCTTATTTTCAAATCTGAAAGTTGAAAGCTATATGCCCAAGCAACAGTCCAGACAATACACAGCCTCTTCTGACTCAATAGAATAGTGCTGTGTGTCATCAGTGTACCCCAACACTTCAAATGACTGTACCTCATGGCTTCTTAGAGACATTAAACAGACCATTGTAGCTGAAGACCATGATCATTGCTTTGCTTAATCTTCTCCTCTCCAGGCTAAACACATACAGCCCTTTCAACCATATGGTGCTCTTTAGATCCAAGACATGCCAGCTGGGGGTTATGGGAGCTGCACTACAAAACATCTAGAGGGCACCAGGTTGGCCAAGGCTGTCTCATGTGTACACTGCTTCCATGCTTTGCATTTCATTGTAGGCCAGTGCCGTATTTCACGATGGAATTTTAAGCTGAGCATATTCTATCATGATCAAAGGGACACGCGCCTGGCATTAAATGGCACACGGGATGAAAAAGGATGTGAAGGCACAACAGCCACCATTATAAATGTTTATAGACATACCTGAAGTCTTATCTAAAGTTCATCCTGTTAAAGGACATGTTTTATGTTGTACGGTTCCTCTTAGAATATCAATCTAATAAGCACCAAATGAGTCTGAAGACAATGCTGTTATAAAAAAATGGAGAAAAATGATTAAAATGTGATAATTATACTGACAGTTTATATGCTCAATCTAATCAGCCGAACTTCCAATTTGTCATAATGTACACTCACTCATACATTATTGCTTAATTATAGCAACACTTCTATTTGGAGAGGCTGTCAATCACGTGAATGCCCATCATTTTTCTTTATTTGCATTTAAAAGACATATTTTAACTCTGATTGAAAGCCCACTCTATTATATTGAGTTAACCCTAGCCATCTTTCTTGCTTACTGTAAACTTGGCTATTCTGTTTGTAAGGTTTATGTCACTCGGAGGCATTGTGAAGTCATGCTTTCCCTTTCATCTTGCATCAGTTCTCTTAGCCACCTGCAATTAAGACGAACCAATCAATAAGAAGCACAATCCAGCCCCTGGATGCCCAAGCAGACCAGGAGCCAAGTAAGTGCACTAGTCCCAGTCCACCCCAGGCACAGAGCATGTGGGAGCTCTCATGGGAAAAGGCCATAGCCCAGTGTCAGAGCACATGCTTTAAATGAAGAAGACAGCAGGTTCAGTCCCTGGCATCGCCAGTAAAAATTATCATGGAAGCAGGTGATGGGAAGTACTTCTGCCTGAGACACTGGAGAGGATAAATGGCCAAATAGTGTGAGTTGGTACAGAGCAGCTTCCTGTTAGTCATGATGCAACTGATCTGTGCAAAGTCCAAGGCAAGAGGAAAACTGAGAATGACAAACCCCCCAAGTGTCCATATTTTCCAGGGACTGTTCTGGATCCTGGTTTCTGATTTGATCCCAGAATGTACCACTTTTCCTTAAAGGTAAAGGGACCCTTGGCCGTTAGGACGACTGTGGGGTTGCAGTGCTCATCTCACTTTACTGGCCAAGGGAGCCAGCGTTTGCCCACAGACAACTTCCAGGTCATGCGGCCAGCATGACTAAGTCGCTTCTGGTGAACCAGAGCAGCACACGGAAATGCCGTTTACCTTCTCACTGGAGCTGTACTTATTTATCTACTTGCACTTTGTGCTTTCAAACTGCTAGGTGGGCAGGAGCAGGGACCAAACAATGGGAGCTCATCCCGTCACAGGGATTCAAACTGCCGACCTTCCGATTGGCAAGCCATAGGCTCTGTGGTTTAAACCACAGCGCCACCCGCGTCCCTTCACTTTTCCTTAGGACATCCCTATTTTCATTGGATAAATGTTGGAGGGTATCAGATGATCTGTGGGTGATTTGCGGCATTGATAGTATAAAGCACAGGTTCCACTAGGCATTGCAGATCATGGACCAAAGAGTGCCTCATGACATTTTGTGATCTCGAAGCTACCAGCATGAGTTTGACCAAACTGTGGGAGGCAGTGGAAGATAGGAGTGCCTGGTGTGCTCTGGTCCATAAGGTCACAAAGAGTCGGACACGACTAAACGACTAAACAACAACAACAACAACCCTGAATAAAGTGCACATGATAGTGTGTCTTGCCAGAGAAAAACTATGGATTGGAGCTTCCTACCAGAAGCAACATTAATAAAGCATAAGGGAAACATGGGCAGGAGTTCAGAGGGAGAGGGGCAAGAGAACTCCTTTATGAGCAACACGTCTCATTTTCAAATAGAGGAAATTCCTTCCATGGCTCTCCAATCGCAATGGTTCAATAAACAGAAGCACATGGAGGAAAGTGAATCCTGCTTATTTCACCCCATTCAACCTTAAATGCATACAGCACAAAAGCTAATCCTGGGCTTACATTTCTGCAATACGCCAGGTATGCTACTGAAGAGCACCTTTCTCATGCCTGCAATTGCAGAGGACTTGCCCACAAAACACAGGTAAGTGAGGCACACTTCAAACTGTCATAGGTGTCATTGCAGGAAAAGCAGCTATTCTTCTGCGATTTGGTAGGGTTTGTGCACTCCAAAGGGGCAACCATGGCTACAAATTCCATCCAGCTCTCCCAAAATAAAACAAGAAGGATATAAAATAAATAAATCAAAGAGTCCAGACCCCCAAACCCTGGAGGTATTTGCTTGCAATTTGGTGGGCTTAATCCACTCTGGAGAGGCTGCTAGGCTGTACATTTCATCCATTTCTTTCAAGAAGGGAAAAAGTTATAGCCATATTTTGATTCTCCATAATAGCGAAATATGGGAAATGGAGCTTTGTTTTTAATGAAGCTGCTTTGAACCTGAAGCATGAATTGAATCGGACAGACTATGGAGTGACTCAGAACAGATTGTACCACTTCCTGAAGTGAATCAAATCTTGGGGCTGGTGCACACTGCGACTTCCTATGTTACAATGTACATAGTCCAGTATGATAAAGCATGGATTTCCTTTCTCAAGTCAAGGTAGGCAGAAGTCCAAGTTCTGTGGGTGTTGGGTGTGGAGCTTCTGCACAGCTTTTTGATTTTTTGGGGAGGTTGGGGCATGGAGGCAACCTCCGAGATGCAGCTGTTGTTCCTTAAGAGTGCAGAGAGTTAGGAGGTTCCTATTCCTCTCACAGAGCTACAATTCTCAGAGTTCCTTGTGAAGAGGGATTGATTGTAAACCTGATTCCTTGTTGACATGAATTGTGCTTCTGGCCCACGGAGGGAGCATGAATAGTGCAAATCATTGAATACACAAAAGTGTAAATAATAGTGTAAATTGTGGTCATCAGGTGGGGAGAGGAAACACACTTTATTTACTCATGGGCAAGAAAGAAATAACAAATTTTGTGGGAAGGGATGCTGTCTGATTGTTAATATACTAAAATCAAAGTCCTTTTTAGTAATAAACTGAACTGTAGCCTGTACCAGCAGGAAGGCAAAAACCAGTGTTAGGAAGTGGTGAAATGCTGGAAAGAGATCCTTCAATTATACCTAAATTATCCAAGTAGTTAGACAAGATCCATATCATTTGCAACGACCTTGATCTTAGGACTCATTGATATTTTAGGTGATGTTCTTTTAATTTTTGCAAATTTGTAACATTAGTTATGGTTCAGTACCAGTATCAAGATCATTAGTATTAAGTCAAACACTTATATGGATTCACAAGGCAGCAATAGCAATGGAACTTCCAACTATTTATCTGAAAGTTTCAACTCTAGTTTGCCGTCATCTTCTGCTCTTGGTGGCTCTGAGATGGCTCCCTACAGAGCAGAACCTGCTCTGCTTTAAAGATACATGCCTGCCATTCATAAATTTTGGAACCCATAATTAGAGGCACGGACTCTTAAGTCTCAAAGCAATGTGAAGATAATCAAGTCCAATCTGCTGAACTGACACAAAATTCACCGTGCCAACCATTTTCATTTGTACTCCCCAGGATTCAAGAAGCACTGACTCAAATAGGATGAACCTATTGCCTTGCAGTGCTGGGAAGCTGGTACACCGGGGTTAACATTGCCATAGCACAGACAATTCAACCAACAGATCAACCAACCAAAGCTTGATTAATTACTTAACATTTTTTTTTACACTAAAAAAAAAAAAATGTCCAGTAGCACCTTAGAGACCAACTAAGTTTGTTCTGGATATACCCAGTTACCTGGGAGTAAAGATGGAAGTATCTGTCCCTTTCAGTTCTTTCAGTTTCTCATTTGTCCGGTCATAAATTCAATTCTCCACATTTCTGCATCAGTTTGCTTTTTTAAAAAAATATATCATGAAAATTTTGGTGCAAACTTATCCTAATACAGTGGTACCTCGGGTTACATACGCTTCAGGTTACATACGCTTCAGGTTACAGACTCCGCTAACCCAGAAATATTACCTCGGGTTAAGAACTTTGCTTCAGGATGAGAACAGAAATCGTGCTCCGGTGGCACGGCGGCAGCAGGAGGCCCCATTAGCTAAAGTGGTGCTTCAGGTTAAGAACAGTTTCAGGTTAAAAACGGACCTCCGGAACGAATTAAGTAATTAACCCGAGGTACCACTGTAAACACATTTTTATATGCAGATTTTAATAACATACACATTCTTTCAATCAATTTCCCTTAATACATGTCATTTCCAACAAAATTTTCATATTTGTGCACTTTCCCCATATATATGCATAAAGACTTTTTGGTTAGAGAACAGCATCAGAAAACTAGGAGAAGTGCAAATTTCAAAGGCTGGCTGTATTTTGGTTCTAATATTGTTTTGGATTGAGTTTAAAATGTCAGTTTCTCTCCCGCCCGCCCCCCCCCTTCCTACCTGAGCATAAGCCTTCTGCACTTTAGTGGAACTTATTTCTGAGTAGCTAAGCATTGCACTGCTGCTTGAGTTGCAACCCTACGTTATCAACTTCAGCTTCCTGCAGTGTGATTATCTGTCTCCTGTAAGAGAAACTAAAAAAAAAAAAGTAAGAGCAAAAACAATTTGAAAGCCAACCATTTTGTATATATGTGGAACAGATGAGAAAAGATGAACCAATGTGTTGTTATTGGGTTGTGGTTTTTTTTAGACAGCTTGAAACAGCTGGTTTGAGCCTGCAGGTAAGAGTGGTCAAGTTTTTCACCTTCACATTTACTCTCATATCTTCCCTCAGTAGATCATTCCCTGAGCTGAAAGAAATAGGAGTCAGAAGCGGTGCAGCGGTGCATGCCTGCTCAGCTTATTAAAACGGGGAAAAGGCAATATTTCACCCCCCAGAAATAAAAAAAAAAGATAGACAAGTAAGAGAGGCTAATCCATCTGATGAAATTAGCAGGCAGAGTATGTAGCTGTTTGAAATGATGAACGAGGTTGAAATAGCTACACAGGCTTACATCCAGTGGGATAATTACTCCAAGCTCTCGGGCTAAAATCTGTCTTGGAGGAACCGGGAGGCTTTGATGACTCAATTTCAATGGGCATGCTTATGAAATACATAGTAAAAGCTATTAAAACTGAATTGTTCTTGGGTGGTATTCTGAGACTGGGCTACTGACCCCATCAGGCTGTTTTTTAATAAGCTGCACGCTAGCTATGCTCCCAGAAGTGGAGCCTGCGTTAGCTGCCCACCTGCTGTGCCTTAACCACCTCATACCCCCTGCACCCCATTGTGAGCAATTATTATGGTTCCAGAATGCATCCTGCTTTCTACGTATGGAAATGTGGGATAAAGCTCTCTGCCGAACCTCTGCTGCCGTCCTCCCGGTTTTAGATTCAGCCTGCATATATTAACCTGTGCATCATGTTAAAGAGATGGCATGCTTCACAATCCCTCTCCTGTAGTAGATTTCATTATCTATAAAGCCTGCTGCAGAAATGAAAGCATTTGGAAACAAAAATAATATTCAGAATATTGCAGGTGTAGAACACTTTGCAAACTGTTAGTAATTGCTGGTATACCACTAATACCTTGTGGGTGCAGCCTACATGCATATCAAATAGCCGTTTTCTACCTGATGTCAAAGTACATTAACCGTCTGGGGGTGTAGTTCATGTTCCTCCTTTTGCAGGAGATATGTATAAATGTACAAGCCTCCCCCCCCCCAGCCCATAATTCCAGTCTGGTTCAATGAGCACTGGACCTCTTTCGAAGGTTTTTTTTAAAAAAATATTGAAGATACTTCTGTTCAAAGAGCTTCCCGAGTGATTTACAAAAACAAGGTGGAAGGCAAAGAAACCAATATTTTTTTTTAAGCCCCTAATACTTTTTACAAAGGAGAATAAACAAACTTTTTTTTAACTGAAGGACTTTATTTTTTTCCTTCAGATTTGTTATCTCGCGTAGCGATCATACAGGACCCTTCTGACAACTCTTCTGATACCTCTACGAGTGAATCAGTGATGGGTCCGTCAGAGCTGATCCCAAGTGTCTGTCTATATTGGGGGGTGGGGGTGGCCTTTTGGGCCTAGTGCACCAGATCTTTATCTCCCCTCACCTCATGGGCCAACTTTCACAGGTAGGCAGTGCCAATCACTTGTCAATCATCTGGCGTCAGGCAGTCCCACTCACCTGTCAAAGTTAACTTGCAGGGATGAGGGGAGGTTGACCTGCTTTGTCAGTACATTTCCTGCAAGAAACACACTGGCGAAGCAGCACCTGGCAGGACTGAATGCTCCACTCTTCAGCTGAGTCTGCTTCAGCATCTGTGCTCAGATGATGAGCAGAGACTCCAAGCCTGATCTCTGCAAGGCTCTAAGCAGGGAACTGGTATGCACAGCCAATGCAGAATTGAACCCCACTATCTGCTGACATGTATGGAAGTGAGAGCTGGACCATAAAGAAGGCTGATCGCCAAAGAATTGATGCTTTTGAATTATGGTGCTGGAGGAGACTCTTGAGAGTCCCATGCAGACTGCAAGACGATCAAACCTATCCGTTCTTAAGGAAATCAGCCCTGAGTGCTCACTGGAAGGACAGATCCTGAAGCTGAGGCTCCAATACTTTGGCCACCTCACGAAAAGAGAAGACTCCCTGGAAAAGACCCTGATGTTGGGAAAGATGGAGGGCACAAGGAGAAGGGGACGACAGAGGACGAGATGGTTGGATAGTGTTCTCGAAGCTACCAGCATGAGTTTGACCAAGCTGCGGGAGGCAGTGGAAGACAGTAGTGCCTGGTGTGCTCTGGTCCATGGGGTCAGGAAGAGTCGGACACGACTAGATGACTAAACAACAACAATCAACTGACATCACCCATTGACATCAGCTGACTGACAAGTGACCATGGTTTAGAGGGAATGGCTTGGCCATTTATGGTTACTCCGTACATATACATTAGTCCTGGGGTGGAGAAGCTCGAGGGCCACATTCCATTCTGAGAAACCACTTGGACGCCACATGGCAGTGGTAGGAGGAGCCAGAGGCAAAAGTGGGTGGAGCAACAAATGTAAAATTTGCCTTTGTACTAGTTTCTACAAACACACACACACTCTGTACCCTCTATCCAGGCACACAGGAAGCAATATCAGAGCTCAAGGACCCATTGCAGCCAGCCAAAAACCCTTGGGAGGTGAAACAGGCCTGGACAAGAGAGTGTGTGGCCTAGGGAGTGTTATGAGGACTACACAGCAGCATTCATCCCCCAGGCCTGAGGTTCTCCACCCCACCCCAGTATCCCCTTGCATCGCTTTGTAAGAGGTTACAAATTTGCTTACAGCCATTTCTCATAATTCTGGAAGGCGTCCATGTTTCTCAGCAGGCCCTGCTCTCTGATCCCAGGGTCCTGCTTTAGCAGCAGTTGGGCCAGATCCTTAGCACTTGCACTGCTGTAGTTTCAGGAAGCGTGGGCATCTTTGGGCAGCTGCCAACCCTCCACGGATGCTGCTGCCTGTGCTGCCTTGGGCCAGCCTGCCTGCTTCCCCGGGCTTGGAATTTACCTCAGTTGGCAGGAGGCTGCAAGGTGCTTGCCCTTTTAGTTTCCCACAAAGCCCTGAAACGACACGCCATGGGGGCCCTTATTCCAGGCGAGCAGGTGGCACTTTGCCAGGGAGGCAATTGGTGAGATGGGGGTGGGGGCTGGTGTAAAAATTATTCTGTCAGGACTCCGAAAGAGCATTACATCTGACTGCCCAACAGGAATTAAATGCAGTTGAAGCTGTTGCCTATAAACTGGTGCTACAACTTTTCCATTTCACCCAGCAATCAAGTCTGACTTTACTGAAAAGTGCCCTTACAGAGCTTAAGGCAGGCTTCCTCAACCTTGGCCCTTCAGATGTTTACAGCCTACAACTCCCATGTTCCCTAGCTGGCAGGACCAGTGGTCAGAGATGCTGGGAATTGTAGTCTCAAAACATCTGGAGGGCCGAGGTTGAGGAAGCCTGGCTGAAGGCAGCATTGGGGTACCTGTGGTCTTCCAGATGTTGCAGGACTATCCCTGACAGTTGGCTCGTGCTGATAGGACTCCCCTTTCCCCCACAGCTCTGTGTGGGGGAAAGGGGTGCCCTAACAACTCTCAGCACCCTTAACAAACTACAGCAGGCATAGGCAAACTTGGTTTTGTTCTGTATGCTGTTGTTTTCAATCAGCCTGAAAGGCTGAGGTTATCCTGCATCAAGCTTCCTCAACCTTGGCCCTCCAGATGTTTTGAGACTACAGTTCCCATCATCCCTGGCCACTGGTCCTGTTAGCTAGGGATGGTGGGAGTTGTAGTCCCAAAACCTCTGGAGGGCTGAGTTTGCCTATGCCTGAACTATAGCTCCCAGGATACTTTGGGGGAAGGCAGGCATCTTTAAAGTCGTACCATCGCACTTTAAATGTGTGGTGTGAATGTGGCCTATATCAGCTTTTTTTAGTTTGTACTAGCAGGGCTCCTCCTGCACTCTTGAGATAGGAATGTAAATGCATGCACAATATTAATAACAGTAATAATAAGAATACTCCCGTGTGACGGATAAACAGTAGCTGATGTTAACACAAACATGCTGGGTGTGCCTGGTGAAATGCAGTTGCCCTTTGTCCCAGAATCTCATAATTTTCCCGCGGAGATGGCAGCAAGCCTATATATTTTGGATTAGATCACCTGTCATGTGTTATTCCTTACATAATTGTTTCTGTAACCCACCATTATCCTTATGATTGTTCTTGCTCCATTATCCACTTAGCCTTGCCTAATGCATGTGCCACAGGGAGAATGCGGGAAAGGGGGGGGGAGCTGAATCAATGGAGGGCTTTTAGTAATAAAGAGACGAGCACCATACCAAAATACAAACAAGAAAGCAATTTAGCATCCTCCCCTGCAGCAGGTGAACGGGAGGAGAACATGCTAGTAGCATAATATGTTTGAGGCCAAGAAGAGGCTTATAATTGCATCTCAACTTCAGGAGCCATTATTTTGCCTAGTTAGTTCTTCTTTCAGCCTGGATCTCTCTCTCTCTTTTTCCCAAGAAGAAATTGATTGCCTTATAACCTAAAATACAGGACTAGAGGGGATTCTCCAGACCAGAAATGCATTTTGATCTCACCATGTCGTCCTAGGTAATAACATGCATTTATTTGTGTATTTTGAGGATTTATATCTCAGCTTTCTAGTCAAACGATCTCCAAGATAGTTTATATTATTTTGCCATGATACAATGCAACATAACGTGGTGACTTGCCATGTAATTCAATCAACTTCCAGTGATGGGGCACCATGCATTTAAAGCACCGTGACACCACTTTAAACCATCATGGCTTCTCCCAAAGAATTATGGGAGCTGTAGTTTGCTAAAGGTGCTGGAAATTGTTAGGAGAACCCTGTTTTACTTATTTATTTAAATCTATATACAGTCAAACCTCGGTTGGCGCCTAAAAGTATGCATTCCCCTCCCAGAGCTACTATTCCCAGAGTGGCCCAGCAATCAATCTCTCCTCCCCAGCCACATTTTGTTTTGTTGTTTCATTGCTGGTGGCAGCACAAGAGTTTTCTCTGTCACCTTCTCAACCTCCCCGCCCCCCCACATCACACCGAGAAGGAACCAAAGGGATCTTTCTGGGCAAGGTGACTGGGTGACTCCCTGCACTGCTGCTGCTACAGAAGTGTCATTAAATGTCATTTTAATACTATTAAAACTGTGGCCACAAATCCCATTTAGGCTCCATTTAAAAGTTGCTTCAAAGTTGGTAGGGGGTTGGACTTACCGTATTTTTTGCTCTATAAGACTCACTTTTTCCCTCCTAAAAAGTAAGGGGAAATGTGTTCGCATCTTATGGAGCGAATGCAGGCTGCGCAGCTATCCCAAAAGCCAGAACAGCAAGAGGGATTGCTGCTTTCACTGTGCAGTGACCCCTCTTGCTGTTCTGGCTTCTGAGATTCAGAATTTTTTTCCTTCTTGTTTTCCTCCTCCAAAAACTAGGTGAGTCTGGTGCATCTTATAGAGCGAAAAATACGGTAGATGATCCTCGTGGTCCCTTCCACCTTTACAATTCTATGAACAATATTTACAACATCTTCTTCTTTTTAAAAAAAGCTTTAATTGTATTTTTAGCTGTGGCAACGAACCTCTGCAACAGTTGAGGCACAATCATGGCCATCTTGCTCAGAATTACAAGCCCATTCGCACTTCCTCAGAGAGGGGAGTTGAGGGGGCAGCAGCCAGTCTCATCTTGCCTCAGCGGTTAGGCTGCTGATTATGCTGGCCACTGCAGGAGAGCAAGCAGGTTGGCCAGCCAATTGTAAAACAGGACAGCCAATTCTGAGGCATGTGAGGGCTAATTCACTTCTCCCATCCATGCACCTCTGGCCGGAGAGAATTAGCCCATTTTGCTTCACAGTTGGGCCAGCCTTGAGAAGGGGTGATCTCTAAAGAATGTAGAGGACCATTGCAGCTCTGGGCTGGATGGAGAGGACCCTTCCCCCTCAATCTCTGGGCATTCCCCACTCAGCTTGGCTTAATTTCTCAGAAAAGAAAAGAAAAGAAATTGGGGGTGGAGTGGGGAGAATCTGCAATATATTTAACTTCATGGGAAAACTGAGGCAGCAGAGCTACTTGGAAGGTTGGGTGCTCGCGGATCCACCTTCACACCTCTTTTTAACAGTATGAAGCCACTCAATAACCTGAAAGACCACCCCAAATCATCCTAATTTGCTTCACTATTTGGGGTACAGGCAGGGCGAATGCATACATACCGTACCTTGACTAAATAGGTTTGATTTGTATGTGGCGATTGTTGGAATGGCTACTGATGTCACAGAAGGCATCAATGCCTCCTTAGTGAGGGAAATCAGTGATATTCCTATGTGAAGAAAACCTGATGAACCAGCTGGACACTTTCTCCCCATTGAAAGGTTTCAGATTCCTCAAACACTGTTCATTACTTCTCTTCCTTTTTTTGTTTTTCAGCTTTCCCTCACCAGGAGGAGAAAATTCAAAGTGACGTGCAGGACATTATTCTGCAAGATTGTGATCTTTGAGGTGTGCCTCTGTCTGCAACATTTCAAGGTAACTCCACTCATTTTGGTCAAGTAAAACGTGTCAAGGTGCCATAATGAGACAAATGATCTCCGGAAGTTTAATTAGGGGAGGGAGACCCTTTCAGTTAGTTTATTTTCATTCAATAGCCTAACATACAAAAAACGCTGAAACCAATAAAGTAATGGAGAACCTGAAAAAGGAGATCTGAAAGGCACCTTTGCGAAAAACAATTGATTTGCTTCATTTCATTGAAATGGCTGGTGCTTTGATGGTTCATATTTACAATAGCTTGTCCTGTTCTTCAGTGGAGTTGATATGTTGAAGTCTTTAGAACCATAAACTTGATCAGAACTTCCTGGGTAATAAACAGCGGATTTAAGATGTTGGCCCCCTCCTCATGATGCTACTGCAAGCCCAGCTGCGTGCCAATTTGTAGCTAAAGACATCAAGAAATGTGTTCTTCATGCTCAAATGCCCTTGGAAGTTGAAAATAGTTCCTGGAAGCTCAATATGCAAACTGGATTCAGAGCCTTGAAGAATTTAGAGAGTGAAACACACACACACACACACACACACACACACACACACGCACCAAAGAACACAACACCCTGACCTTCCCTAACAAAGGGCAAAGCTTGGATAAATCCATTATCACTATAGACAGGAGAGCTTTTTGGAGCTCAGAGGGTTGAGTTTCTTCTGTCTTTTTCACTGCTTTTGTAGAAAGATCAGAGAGTGAAACCAGGGGATGCTGATTGCATGTATAGTATATATACACATGAACACAGAGAGAAAGAGAGATAAAGCATTTTCACAAACCCAAATGGGAAAGTTGCATGTTTTAGAAAAGACAGAAAACAGGAGGCCTCACAACTGCAGCAACACAATGACAGAGAAGAAAATCATTAAGTGACCTCCTGTATCTAAACAAGCATCCAATTTCTAAACATTGGGTCTAAGAAGGTTTTCTTTCCCATTAGCAGTTCTTTCATACCATTCCCATCACCCACCCCCTTTAAATGTAGTCTCGAAATGGCATGGATCTGTTTTCCAGTAGAACAAGCATCATCCTTCCTGCTGTAAGCACCTTATTTTTATTTTCTTTGGTCCTTTGGCTCTTTAGGGTTGCTTTCAGTGTTTCAGAGGGTCCTGCTCCCCTTTATTCGTTTTATTCAAAGCATTTCTATACCAGTCTTCGTTATTAAAATCTGAGGGTAGTGTAAAAAAGCAAAAACCGGAAGGCACTCAGCTGGTAGAATATGAGACTCCTAATCCCAGGGTTTGAGCCCCACATTGGGCTGCATTGCGGGGGTTGGACTAGATAGATAGATAATTTATTACGGTCAGAGACCAGCTTATAAAACACACTTGGGGGTACAATCCCAGAAGTTAAACCAACATTTAAAACAATGTGCAACAATAAATTTAAAATTTATAAATGTGATAAGCATATAGACACTTAAAACTTTAAGATAAGCTACCGCAGAGAGATGACCCAGAGTCACCCATGGAACCAAGTTTGGGGATTTTCTTAACAAACTAGGGGATTGGACTAGATGAGCCTCGTGGACCCTTCCAACTCTTCTATGATTCTATAGCCATGGTACATTAAAGTACAGATATGGGAATGGCTGCCTAGTCAATCAGCCTGGAGTCTTGTATTTTTCATGAGTGCAGAAATGGTGCTGCAGTCAAACCTTTTCTTTATTCCCAAAGTCCATTGGCCTTGCATTCTGAATGGGAGTATCACTCCATCCTGTGGGGACACTGCAAGATTAATTTGTTCATTTTTGAACCTAACACATACAGGCTTTGTTGGAGTTAGGAGGCTGAATGGCCTGTACTGCTTGGGATGAAGGAGATTTCTCTGAAAAGCTTTGAGCTTAATAGGCAGATGATTACCAGAAGCACCAGAGCTTGTTTCCTTTTTGTTCCCATAGTCACTTCCACCACAAGCAGGAGCTGATCCTCCCAGTTTTCTGTCCTTTACCTACATGCTACAAAGCTAAAATGAAGAACTGCCTAGATGATGAGGATGTAAGGCATTGAAGTCTGGAAAAGAACTTCTCCTTCAAATTCCAAAGATCTCAGAAGTCCCCTTTGTAGTAGGGCTTTTAGGTTGGCTACCCCTGTTGAGATATGACAGGCACCCTCTATCCCCCCTTTTTTTTTGGAAACAGTTGAAGACATTTTTGTTCTGACAAACCTTTCCAGCAGGATGAATAGGTCTTTGCTGTGTGGGTGCCTCTGTAGTTATTTAAAATGGAGGCAATGGTGGTAAAAAGGAAAAGCGTGGATACCAATTGGCTGACTTATAGAAATTTATTAGAAGAACAAGATAACCAATTAAGACTAAAGAAATATGACATATTAAAACATATTGGTGTAAGTTGGCTACAATACCATCAACTCAATGGAATTTTCGAACAAGATAAAAGGAAAAATGGGTATGATAAGATAATTTCTAATTTAGATAAAGAACTTCTCTCAAAGAATTTTTTTTTTTTTGTCTAAAATGTATAAATTATTTTTAAATTGGCACCTAAAAGATGAGGAGGTCAAAGATGTAATGGTAAAATGGGCACAGGATTTTGGATACAATATAGAGCTAGAAAAATGGGAAAACCTCTGGAAACATGATATTAGATTCACGGCATGCTATACAGGTAAAGAAAATTTCCTAAAGATGATATACTGGTGGTATATGACCCCAGCAAAATTGGCTAAAATAAATAAAAAATTAGTAATAAATGCTGGAAGTGTAATCAAAAAGAAGGGAATTTTTTCCACATGTGGTGGATGTGCCCCAGAAGAAAAATATTCTGGGACATGATTTATGAAGAATTAGGTGGGAGGAAGAATGGAATATCTGAGAAAAGGGTATGGCTAACTGACTGGAACACACTGCACTGCAACATTTTGTTGAAGTCCCACTTGTCTATGTTACCAATTTGTTGCCCATGAACGACCTTTTCCAAAGTGATCCCATGCGTGCATACATGTGGAAGGATTTGCATCAGAACTGGTTATTCATATACTTTTCCACAATCCACTGAGGATAATCCTAGATTCCTGCCAGAGCCTGCTCACAGACTAATCACAAGAATAACATATTCCAACACAATCTTTCTACATGTACAGTGGTACCTCGGGTTAAGTACTTAATTCATTCCGGAGGTCCGTTCTTAACCTGAAACTGTTCTTAACCTGAAGCACCACTTTAGCTAATGGGGCCTCCTGCTGCTGCCGCGCCGCCGGAGCACGATTTCTGTTCTCATCCTGAAGCAAAGTTCTTAACCCGAGGTACTATTTCTGGGTTAGCGGAGTCTGTAACCTGAAGCGTATTTAACCTGAAGCATATGTAACCTGAGGTACCACTGTAATCTACACTCATAGAATGGCTTCTTTGAGGGCAGGGGGTCAGGTGGGTGAAATCATACTATGAGCATAAGGTAGTGCTGTGCAGAAAATGTCTTCCACTTTTTTTACCTTTCTCTATCAATTAATGAGGAAACAATGCTTTTGAAAATTATCAAAGGGGGGGGGGAAATCAGTGAAATTCTTATGTGTAGTATGCAAGGCTTTGGTTGTGCTTGCCTTACTTCTGAGGCAGCAAAGAAGTTTTCTTTCATTCCTCAAATAATTTTTCTGGTACTTTGCATATTACCACCTTCCCTGGATGCCTGTGCTTCTGGAAACCTTGATATCCTTCGCTGGGCTTTCCTCTAAGCATGGGAAGATGGGGAGATAGCCTACTGTGCCCTGGCAGATGTTTATTATTTTTAAAAATCCATGTGGATTTTTTAAAAAGAAAGAAAGGTGAAATGAAGGCCTTCCCTTTAAAAACAACATCAGAGAGTGCACTCAGGCACCTCAGCCACCCTGGGGTTCTGTTTCAGGTAAAACTCACAGGGAGAAATCCTATCCCATGGGTGCCCCCCCCCCGCAGGTTCAAGTTGCTCAGGCAGCTGGGGAGGCTGCAGAGCACTGTGGAAATGTTTAATGGAAAGAAAAGACCACATCAGCACCACATATTTTATGCATTATTATACCACTTTAACAAGCATGGCTTCCCCCAAAGAATAATGGGAACTGTAGTTTGTTAAGGGTGCTGAGAGTGGTTAGGAGAGGCCTGTTCCCCTCACAGAGCTACAATTTCCAGAGTGGCTTCACAAACAAACCCTCTTCCCAGGAAACTTTAAGAATGGTAGCTCTGCGAGAGGAATAGGTAATAACTGTGCTTTTAAATGTGTGGTATAAATATGATCACACTCGCTATCCATTTACATCTTGAAACGATAAGGTAGACTCAATCCCGCACCAACCAAAATTCTAAAGAAATTCTAAAGCACCCAGAGAATAATGCAGGAAAGTGGAAAGCTCTTTCACAGGGAAAGAAAAGTTTCAAGAAATTGATGGACAAATTTCAACACAGGGCTAAGTGGGTCAGGCTGGTTAAAACAAAAAAGATACTGCAGCAACAGAAGTATAGTGTCCAGATCAAGAGAAGTAATAGTACCACTCTATTCTGCCTTGGTCAGACCACACCTGGAGTACTGTGTCCAATTCTGGGCACCACAGTTTAAGAAGGATGTTGACAAACTGGAACCTGCACAGAGGAGGGCAACCAAGATGATCAAAGGTCTGGAAACTAAGCCTTACAAGAAAAGTTTGAAAGAGCTGGGTATGTTTAGCCTGGAAAAGAGGAGACTGAGAGGAGATATGATAGCAATCTTCAAATATCTTAAGGGCTATCACATGGAAGAGGGAGCATGCTTGTTTTCTCCTGCTCTTGAGGGTAGGACTTGAGGCAATGGCTTCAAGTTACAAGAAAGGAGATTCTGACTAAACATTTGGAAATATTTACTGACAATCAGAGCTGTTTGGCAGTGGAACAGACTCCCACGAAAGGTGGTTGACTCTCCTTCCTTGGAGTTTTTTAAGCAGACATGGGATAGCCAGCTGTCATGGATGCTTTAGCTTAGATTCCCGCATTGCAGGTGGTTGGACTAGATGAAGAAGAGTTTGGATTGGATATCCCACTTTATCACTACCCGAAGGAGTCTCAAAGCGGCTAACATTCTCCTTTCCCTTTCTCCCTCACAACAAACACTCTGTGAGGTGAGTGGGGCTGAGAGACTACAGAGAAGTGTGACTAGCCCAAGGTCACCCAGCAGCTGCATGTGGAGGAGCAGAGACGCGAACCCGGTTCACCAGATTACGAGTCTACCGCCCTTAACCACTACACCACACTGGCTCCCTTGGGTCCCTTCCAACTCTAATATTCTGTGATTCTATGAAGAGCTTGGAAAGACTCTCTCCAAACTGAGTGAATCAGCAGAAAAACGGCAAATGCAATTCAGTGGAAACAAGTCTAAAATTATGCAAATTAGGGAAAAAACAACAATAAACCTACACACAGAGAGATACCCTCATGGGGTTTGAACTGGTAGTTATTGACCTGGAATGAGACCTTGGGGTTGCAGTGGACAGCTCGGTGAATATGTTTTTTTTTATTATTAATTTATTCAAAGTTATAACAAAACATATTTTCCAAAAACATATCCTTATTCCTCCCCCCCATTTTTCCTCCCTCCCCCCTCCCCCTGCTTGGTGAATATGTTGACCCAGTGTGAAAAATTTGAATTACGTGCAAAGGATCATAATGAAAGGAACTGAAAATAAAACTGCAAATATCATAACGCCATTATACAAATCTATGGTGCAACTGGGGCTTTTTTTCAGCCGGAACTCGCCAGAACTCAGTTCCGACACCTCTCAGGTGGGCAACATCACCACTCAAAGAGGACGAGGGAGAGGTTCATGTGGAGTTCTGGCACCACTTTTTCTAGAAAAAATAGCACTGGGTGCAATGCCAATTGGAATACTGTGTGCAGTTCTGATCACTTCACCACACACAAAAAGGATATTTTAGAACTGGAAAAGGTTCAGAAAGGAGCAACCAAAATGATCAACAGGGTGGAACAACATTCCTATGAAGAAAGATTACAACATTCAGGGCTTTTTAGTTTAGAGAAAAGCCAACGAAGAAGAAGAAGAAGAGTTTGGATTTGATATCCCGCTTTATCACTACCCGAAGGAGTCTCAAACCGGCTAACATTCTCCTTTCCCTTCCTCCCCCACAACAAACACTCTGTGAGGTGAGTGAGGCTGAGAGACTTCCGAGAAGTGTGACTGGCCCAAGGTCACCCAGCAGCTGCATGTGGAGGAGCAGGGAAGCGAACACGGTTCACCAGATTACGAGTCTACTGCTCTTAACCACTACACCACACTGGTGTAGACATGATAAGATCATACAATTATGCACTGTGTCAAAAAATTGAATAGAGAAAAGCTTTCTCTCTCTCTCATAACACAAGAAGAACCTCTGGACATCCAAGGAAGCTGCATGTTGGAAGATTCAGGACAGAAAGTACTTCCTAACACAAAAAAGTGCTTCCTAATTTCATTAAACAATGAAATTTGCTTCCACAAGAAGTAATGACGGCCAGCAAATTGGGTGGCTTTAAAAGAGGGTTGGTGACGCGGGTGGCACTATGGGTTAAACCACAGAGCCTAGGACTTGCTGATCAGAAGGTTGGTGGTTCGAATCCCTGCAATGGGGTGAGCTCCTGTTGCTCGGTCCCTGCTCCTGCCAACATAGCAGTTCAAAAGCACGTCAAAGTGCAAGTAGATAAATAGGTACTGCTCTGGCGGGAAGGTAAACGGTGTTTCCGTGCGCTGCTCTGGTTCGCTAGAAGCGGCTTAGTCATGCTGGCCACATGACCCGGAAGCTGTACACCAGCTCCCTCAGCCAATAAAGCAAGATGAGCGCCGCAACCCCAGAGTCAGCCACGACTGGACCTAATGGTCAGGGGTCCCTTTACCTTTATCTTTAAAAGAGGGTTAGACAAATTCATAGTTATCAATGGCTACTAGCTATGGTTATGTTGTTCTGTCTCCACTGTCAGAGGAAATTTGCCTCTGATTGCCAGTTGCTGGAAATCACATGCGAGGAAGTGCTGTTTTTCTCTGGTGCTGCTTTGAGGCTTCCCATAGGCATCTGGTTGGCTACGGTGAGAATGGGATGCTGGCTTAGATGGGCCACTGGCCTGTTCCAGCAGTTTCTTCTTATTTTCTTCTTTTATAATAATTTTTAATTATTTTTACACATATTTTTAAACATAATATCCAACTTATATATAACATAACATACATTTGGCTATAACAACCTTCATCCTCCTCGCCTGATGGTTTTCCAACTTACTTTCTGATATTGCATTTTGTTATTATAGTTATTACTGTTAAATCCTTTTCATAGCTAAACAGATTATAAATTATACTTCACCATAATTGAGAAAATTAACCTTACAAAACTTCTTGTAGCCCTACTAGTGATGTTAGTTGTTTACAATTGTCCTTTAGATACACCATAAATTTATTCCAGTCTTTTAGGAAAGGCTGGGCTTGCTGGTTCCGAATTTTCCCAGTTAATTTCGCCAACTCGGCGTAATCCATCAATTTCATCTACCGCTCTTCCTTTGTTGGTATCTCTTCCTGCTTCCATTGTTGGGCTAATAATATTCTTGCTGCAGTTGTTGCACATAAAAACATTTTTTTTATCTTGTTTATGTATTTCATTACCTACAATACCAATTAGGAAGGCTTCTGGTTTTTTTTACAAATGTATATTTCAACAATTTTTTTTAGTTCATTATAAACCATTTCCCAGAAAGCCTTCACTTCCTTACAAACCCACCACATATGATAAAAGGTACCCACTTTCTCTCTGCATTTCCAGCTTTGGTTATTTGTTTTGTACATTTTTGCTAATTTCACTGGTGCTATGTACCATCTATACATCATTTTCATTATATTTTCTTTAAGAGAACTGCAAGCCATAAAATTTATTCCATCTTTCCATAGTTTTACCCAATCTTCTAACTGTATATTATAACCAATATCCTTAGCCCAATGTATCATAACTGATTCTTCTTATTTTCTTACTAATACAGAGTGCTTTTCTAGAAGGGGCCTTTTCTCTTAATGGTGTACTGATATATTAATAAGTAACATATTCAGTAGCATTTTCTACATCTCATTTGTCAGCCTATAACTATTGGCAAAACATTTCGTTTTGGGATACTTCTACGGTAATGGAGATTTTCAGTGGTATTTATTCTATAGGTACTCAATTGCAAGATTTCACCAATAACACTTCCAAATTCATCATCGAACTGGGTAAAATTACTGTTGGTGGTGGGAGTAGGAAAGGTTAAAAGTACTGAGAGAACTCAGGACACCAAGATGACTTTGGAAACACAGATCAAAAACAAAGAGACTGGAAGTATAATTAACTCCATTACTGCTCAGTCAAATGAAAACATCCGTGACACCCTTCCTTATTTATGACAGCAGCAAATAGCTCTATTCTCTGGCTGGTTATTGCTGTAGGACAGCATTGGTTCTATGGGAGATGAAATGGAAACAAGCCTGCTAATATTTATGTCGCCAAGATCAGGTTATAGATACAAGATTTATGCAAAAGTTGCATTAAAAAAACAAAAACCCTCAGTAGCATTTTATGTCTTCATTCCACAATCCTTCTCCAACAGTAAACAAAATAGCTTTTAGATTTCAATTTTGCAAGTAATATTATGGAATTATAGCAGGCTTTCTTTAGCTGACTGCGGCTGTATTTCCATTATAGGGATATTTGGCCAACCTTTACAATCTGCCCCCACCCCCAATAGGAATTAAAAGCGGCTGCTTATATCTATGAATACAGTTATGATTTGCATTGGAGGAAGGCTTCTAAATTACTGGAATCCAAGATTGTATGAGCAGATCAGGGCATGCTAGTTATATGAAGACCTATTTCAGGCAACATTTCTAGGGCAGGAGCCAAATATGACAGTGTTGAGGGCTGTGGGTCCCCTTAGCATGCCATCAAAGTAGGACTTGGGGACAGATGTCTGGAGCCCCACTCAACAGAATACATGGGGGGATTCCAGATTTGACATAGCACATTACAGTGATATAAAGGGAGGTTTGAGTGAACACCCTCTAATATACGCGACAGAATCTCTCCAGATCACTATAGCACTAAATGTTGTAATGAGAACTTCTCTTAGAATTATCCAAATTGTAATGGCGGGGACATATTGGAGCCTGGGACAAAGTGATATGCCACATTTGCTTTTCTCAATCTCTACATTGTCTTTGAGTTGGTTTCTAGACATTCATTATATATTCACTTGGTTTCAGGGCAAAGCTATCAGCTTGTTCACTGGAACATGCTGGTCTGACACTCTAGCGGGCCACAACCAGTCAGTGGGTATAGTTTTCAGGTAGATGGTACAATGGTCTGACCGCTTTCAGTGTTCCTATGTTCCTCCTTCGCATGCAGGTTCAGTCCCTGGATGGTGCAGTTCCAGGTTGCCCAGATATCTGACTACTCATAGACTGAAACGGGACAACTGCTTTGGGAGGACTTTGGGTTTGAAAAGCAGCACAGTGTCTTAAGTAATACAATATTTGTTTGAATCGCCATTCCACATAAATATTTATTAGTGGGGGAACAGAAGTCGATCCTCTTGTTGCACCTTTAACTGCTACACTTCTAAAAAACAAATGGTGGCCAGGATAAATCCGACAGGAGCTTTTGATTTACAACATCTTCCTTGAATGAATATTCAGGTTTCCATTTACTTCTGAGACAGGTGGAATTTGGCAGATTTAACATCCGGTACAAATGCTCTCACTGCAGCTTTATGAAATACAGCTGTGAACATATTGAGGGGCCAGATGCAACTGGGAGAAGAGGTCTGCCTTCTTCTGGCAATGTTGTCTTCTGCACAG